CCACAAGGCAGTGGAGACATCCCCCAGGCCATTCGAGGAGCTGAATCGCATACGCGGGGTGCGCATCTCCAAGGACTAGCCGCTCGTCCCTGGGTGGCTCCGTCGGCTCCACCCGCTTGTAGAACTCCATCCTGTCCCGGATCCACTGATTATATAGCTGCTCCGGGGGCTCGTCCATCACCAGTGTGGCCTTGTCCTTGTGCCACCCCGTGATCTGGAGCAGCCTGGTCCCCCCACGGCTCGCCCTCCAGAAGCCCTTGCAGAACCTGCACATGTAGCCCCCGGTGGTCTTGAACTTCTCCTTGCCCACCACTTCCCATGCGCTGATGCTGGGCAGGACCAGGCCGCACTCCACGGAGGCCCAAAACACGTGCTTCGTCTCCTTCGGGAAGTGCTTGTTGATGTACTTCCGGCCCGCGACCGCCGTGACCGTGGACGCGGTGATCGGAGGGTACTGCCTGGTACCCTGGTCCGGCGTGCGGAGCGTGGCGTCCGCTCCCCCCAGAATCTTGGCCTTGGGGTCCGATTCCTTAGCCGCTCCGCCCGCGTCGGGGCCAGAGGCACCCAGGGGAGCAACCCATCTGCCTGATCATGTCCTGGGAGTAGCCCAGCCGGTCGTACAGGGCCCCCGCCGCCTCCTGCGGGACCTGCTCCACCCAGTCATGGACCACGTTGCAACGCCAGTTGACCTTGACCTCCACCATGGAGGACTTACTCAGGCGCGACACCAGTTTGGTGCACACCGAGTCGAAAGCCCTCAGCGATGACAGCGGAAGCTCGTCACAGACCGCCCGGAAGCGCAACGCCTCCTTGCTGTCGTGGACGGGGGCAACCGGGATCTCCATCACCGGCAATGGGCAGTTAACGATGAAATTCTTGGCCGCCAGAAACGTCCCCATCTCCTTGAAGATGTAGCTCCATTCCGCCTTGTTGCTCGGCTTGGGGATTCCCAGGCTCTCCAGGAAGGGGACCGCCTCCTTCCTCATCTGGAGGATGTTGCCCATCCACTTATCCGAGGCCGAGCCCTCCGCATTGCGGCCCCGTCGCTGCGTCTTCACGACCAGCGGGAATGTGGTCCAGGCCGAGTAGATGTACTTGAAGGTGAATCTGTGGGCGTACACCCCCGTCAAGGTCTGCCTCGTCCAAAACACTCCATCGCCCTTCGCCCAGAAGATCCCCACCACCTGCTCCGGCGCCGGGCGCTCGCCCCGGTTCACCTGCGCTCGGATCCCCAAGGCCGAGTAGATGATTGGGTCGATGTGGTCCCGCTCACACGCGAGCGGGTGCGTCCTGCGCTCCAGGGCCAGGAGCTCCTCCGGCGTGAGCTTGAATTGCTGGTCCGCGCCCTTGGGGATCTCACCGCTTGAGTGCTTCTTCCAGATCCCCCCAAACATCCGCAGCTCCCCTTGGTGCCTCTTCATCGCCCAGAGGAGCAGGGACAACTTGCCCTCCTCCGAGTCCAGGTCCTGCGGTGGCATTGACTGGTCCCCCCCCGGGCCAGTGGCAACTTTGGGGGGGGCCGGCGTCGCCAGATCGGGCATCTCCTCCAGCAGCGCCTCCTGGTTCCATGGGTTCTGCGCCTCTCTGAGCCTCCGGATGTAGGGGACATACTTCTCCTTGATGTCCCCCACGTTGGGGATGTCCTCGGGGTCATCCAGCTCCAGGGTGTGGTTGAGCATCCATGCCTGGTTGGTGTCCTGGGTGCTGCGCCTCCTGGATGGAGCCCATCGCCTCAGCCAGTGCCTGGCTGGCGTCAACGCCCTTCCCCTCCAGGTACTGGTCTCTCAGCTTGGCCTTGAATCGCTCCAGGTTGACCTTCCTGAGGGCCCGGGCTCCCTCATTGGCCACCTCCTCTGACGGCAGGGCCTGCGTGCCCTCCTGGAGAGGCGCCAGGATAGCCATCTCATTGTCCAGCATCTCATCCGTGACCAGCTCCTTGTGCCGCCGCCTGGCCGAGGACTCCTCCGGGGTCGGCTCCCGGTGCTCCCTCAAGGCCTTATGCAGCTCCTCCTTCTTCCGGATCGCCTGGTCCACCTGGGGGTGGTAGAGCTGGAAGCTCTGAGCCCCTGCCTCCTGCAGGGACCGCTGCACTTTGACCTTGACCTCCTGGCGCTCCCGGACCTTCAACGCCTCGTCGTCCGCCTCCATGGACAGGATCTCCTGCCGGATGTCCACCCGCCTGTTAAGCGGGACCACGTCTGCCATGGTGATCTCCTCTGCCGTGTCCGTTTTCGGAGGAGCTCTTCCCAGGACCGTGCCGTCCACCAGGTTGCGGTCTGCCTGTGCCCGGGTACCACCGGGGCCAGTGGCACCCAGGCTTCCCCCATCCCGCTGCTGGATCCAGGTCGGCTTGCCCTCCACAATGAGCAGGTTGTAAGTGACGCCGTCCGCCTCGTAGGTAGCCGAGGGTGCCTGGAAGGGGACAAACTCCTTGCCCGGGCAGACCCAGCATTGAGTGGCTGCCTCCGGCCACCCCGTGCCGCACGCCTTGCACATGAATTTATAGTCTGAGTGGCCGGCATCGAGTCTGTGCATCCGCTGGGTGCCAATGCACGCCTTGTTCCTCTGGAACTGTGAGGCCCAGACCTCCTCCTGCCGGATCTGGATCTTCATCGGAACATAGGCCTCCAGGATGCGAATCACCAAGTCCTCCGTGAGGTTCTTCCCGACAAACTTGTGGAACAGGGAGACCGCCTCCTCCACCGTGACGTCCCTCAGCAACGTGGCCGCCGATGCCGGAAGGACCGGGAAGAGGTCGGGGAGGTCCACTAACTTGAAGTAGCCAGGACGGCCCTCCACCGGCACAAGGGAGACCGGTTTGTTCACCCGAGCCGAGGTCTTCTGGGAAGCCGCCACGAAACCCTTCAGCCTCTTCGTTGGTGGAGTAGCCTTCTCCGTGGCGTCCGCATCATCCATGTCCTGGTCCTCCTCATCTGCGGGGCCAGGGGCACCCAAGCCGGAAGTCGGTGTGGAGAAAGCCACACGGAGACGCTCCAGTGCACTGGAGAGGTCGTTCATCACGTCGGTGGCCGAAGCCGACGGGGGGGCCGGCCGCCACTGCCGCTTCGCGTGTGCGGATTTCCTGGGCCGCCTGGCTGGCCATTTCCACCTCCTCCGCAGTGAGCGTCTGGTCCTCAATCAGCTCGAAGGAAGTTGCCGAGGTTGCCGAGGAGGCCATTGCTGGTTCGGGGTTAGTTCGGAAGTGTTTCACCTCAAATTTTTCACACAAGTTGGGTTCAGAGAACCCAGGGCAAAGCTTGAGCCAAAATGGCATGCGCCATTGTGGTCAAGCATTGCCAACACAGTTCATGTTTCCACATGCGTTTCAACATTAACAAAATATGGCCGGATCCTTTTGCACCCTTTTTGTTTGTGCCCTTTACCTCGTCCAAGGGGTCCTGAAAAACCATTTTCCTTTAACATGGACCCCCTGCGTCTCTGTAGCAAAGCTTCTGGGTATGGAAAAATCAATCTAAGACCTTTCTGGCTATGGCTGACCAAGGAGAACAAAGGCGCATTAAAGGCTTCCTTGGGTCTCTTAGCCGGATTTCTACGCCAAGAATCCCCCTCGACTCGGGAGGGGGGTGGGCCAGTGGGGGGTCCGGGACCCAATTCCCGTTTTCTAGTCTTCAGAGGGAAAATGGAGCCACAACTGGAAGTCGAGGGGTGACCCCCTCCATGTTTAAGGGGCCGAGGGCCGCACGGCCAAACAACCCGATCGCCACCCCGCTTGCGAAGTGGATACTACTGTGGATGGACGCGACATCCATTTCGCACCACCTAAGAAACCATGGTTGAAACCATTGTTTGTTGGTATTTACAGGGGAATTATCGATTCCCGGGTTTCTTGGGTGGTGCAGGATTTCGTCCATCCACAGTAGTCTTGGCGAGGCCCCCAAAAATGGGGTAGATCCCACCAGGAAGCTCCACGTGGAGTGGTCCAAGTGTGCACCCCGTCGCACTGGTTGCCCGTCGGCATTGCAGTACAGAGAATTCTGACAGCGAGTGTTCAAAATGGACTTTAGTTTTTCAAGCGACTTCCCTTCAACAACCAACAGTGTTTGATAAAACAAGTTGCGTGTAAATCTGACCTTTCTGTAATTTTGACCTTCTGCAAACCGGTTGGCGCCAAGCAAGGCATTCTGGTTCCTTAGGCCCTCGTACTGAGGCTTTCTCGGTCGCGTTTGGAGTTATCCAGTCTGGCTTCTTGTACATTTGTTTACATTATCTAAATTACTTCGCCTTCTTTGGTATGTTTTTTTTTTGCTGCCGCATGTTTGCCCTTGTTCTGCCCTTATTTGGTTCTATTGCTGCCTGGTTTTCTTTCGGCCTATCAGCGTGCTAGACGCGCCTAGCGCGCACGCGTTGAGTCAAAGGCGAGCCCATTTTTTGTCGAGCGCACGCGCCCCGGAGAAGAGCCTTCTTCCGGTGTCAATGTTGCGTTCCCATGACATTCAACTAAAGGAAATTCCACCCATGTTGAGGAACATGGTGGCCTTTGCGAGGGATTTCCGCCCTTTTTGAGGATGCGCGCTCCCATTAAATGAACCTGAAGGAATTTCCACCCAATTTCTTGAGGAACACTCTGGCCTCATGTCGCTTTATGTCTGCATCTGTTTTGCTTCCTTATGTAGGGGCTTGTTTTGCACTTAGCTTCATTTGCCTCAGGTGCTCTTGTCTTTCCTGGCCGTATTTGGCTCTATTTTGCCTGATTTGGCCTGAGCCTTTCTTGAAACAACTTTTCTAATTTCGCCTCACAGCCTCACATTATCCCTGTGCCTGGCCCCTTCTATTATTGGCATAAGTTCAGCTCTCAGGTATGTACATGGGAATCATCCGAAACAGGGTTTCTCAGATGGTGCGACATGGATTTTGCAACCATCAGCATCAAACCCCCCCGGTCCCCCCCCGCCCCCCCCCTCCAAACCCCTCCAAACCCCTCCCCCCCCCCCCCAACCCCATCCCCAACCCCCCCCCCCCGGATCTTGCGCCACCACAGCCTCCGTCTTAAAGCGCGGGACCCGCGAGGAGGAGGAGGGCTGGGGCCTGAAGCCGTGACCGACTTCGGCTCGTCTTTGGAGGTGGTACCCCCCCCCCCCGTTTTTGTGTCTTGGTCGATCAAGGAAAACCAAAAAACGGAAGAGCTGGTAAACCCGGTTTTGTTTGTCCAGAATTGGTGTTCAAGGGAAACCAAAAAGAAAACCGAAATCCAGGGGGGAGGGGGGGGGTTCTCGGTTTTCAAGGGAAACCAAGAGGAAGACCGTGATGTTCACTTCCGGGATCGCCAAAGAGACGCAATCATGTCAAGTGGTGAGTCACCCGGGTTGCAAAAACAACACGTGGACTTCCGGAAAACCGGTTACTCGCAACCAGGCTTACTAACAACTTACCTGTAGTGAATCGATCGCCTCAGGTATGGCTTACTTCTCTTCCCTCGGAGCCCCGAATCCTGCCCAAGTACCGGTGCCCCAATGGGATCACCCGGGCCTGTGGTCCATTCCAAAAAACTTCCTGACAAGTTGCCGGGGACCCGAGAAGATCGGCCGGCGGCTCACCAAGAGCTCCGTTGATGTTTGGCGCGCGGCGTTCGGAAGGCTCTCTGCTCGGGATCGACCGAGAGTTGGTTTTCCTAACCTCACTTGCCCAAAGGACCCAGGACTAAAAGGTTGACCTTTTGGCACCTCTACTAAAAATGGACCAAAATGGGAAAACCAAAAGGTCAAAAGGTCGGCTTTGGACAACTGAGTAACTTCAGGGAAACAAATGGGACGTGCCGTCTTGGGAAACCAATGGGACGCTCGCCAGCTCCAAGCAAAATAGAAACAAAAGAGCTGAAGCGGAGGTCCGGGCTGCTCGCCCTTTCACCACTTTGCGCGGCACCCCCCCCCCCCCGTTTTTGTTGAGATGACTGGCCGGCAAGAATGACGCAACTTTTCGACGTGGCATGAACAAGGCCTTCCAACAAGAAGCCTCAGCTTGGGCAGGGACTTAGACCCCGCCTCTCTTGGGAAATCAACCTGGGCCCCTGGGTTTAAGTCTACCTTGGGGCAATCAATCAAGTGGCCTGCTTCAGGGTGCGCATAAAAGCCACCAACGCGGGGCTTCCACACGAAAGGAAGCCAAAGGCAGAACTTCCCATCCCAGAAGTGTCTTCTGAAGAGTGAGATTCCCACAAACCCTTGCGACCGGAATTCGGTGCCGAACGCCAAGACGCTCGCTTTGCCCAAGCGCCGTGTATTTCCTTTTTACACGGCCTCTCCGAGACTGACGAGACGGGGGGTCTTGCACGGAGTCACCTGCTGGAGACAGCCGCCACTAGTTCGTGCGCGAGGCAGGGCCTGTTCAATGAGTCATAATGGGAACGCCGGATGAATATATGGCTGTGGCTCAAATTACCGGTACCAAAATGGAACTTGGTATGTGGTCGGACTTGGTATCTGCCTTGCGCACGCACTTAGTGGGCCAGTCCCCTGACAATCGCAGGCGTTGTTCGGTGCGGAACCGGCAGGCTGACGACTCCCGAGGCAAATAGCTGAGTGTTTTGTTTGCGTAGTTACAGCTGAATTCAGGCCACTTTTGGCCACTTTTGAGAGTCGCTTGCCACATCAACCCCTTGCTGTACCTTGAGCTCTGTCGCCAAGCCGCGCTCCTTTTATTTGCACCTGTGTTTGCCAAAACAAGGGGAGTCTCAAAATGATTGCTGGAGGCTTCCCTCCAACACGACAGCTGTGAGGATGTCTTCCTAAAATGGACCCAGTGTTCCCTTCAAGGGGCTTCTTCTTCAACCGTAAGAAGCTCAGAACCTCGCTCCTAAGAGGGGTGACAGAGGTTAGTTCGCTTATGACCATGAACACAATTATAAGGTTGACCCCGTATTGGGTCAACCCCAGTTCATTCATAGGGAGGGTGTTCCTCTCCAAAAGTGGTCTGAATCCCCAATACACTGTATAAAAACGGGGTTGATTCATCATGCTTAAGCCGGTCGAACGCTCATGTTGGTGAGGGGGGTCTTGAGTTTACAAAGCCGGCGCTTGCAGGCTGGGCGAGTCAAAAGGGACCCCTTCTAAACGGGTTTCAGGCGCATCCCACCTGTTTCCCTGAAAGGACGCCCCTACTCCATATACCCACTTTCTTGAAGGGTACATGTTGAACAAACCCAGTTTGCCCTTAAAAAACAAAACTACTTTGCGCAGGGCATGACCATCAAACCCTAAACCGTGGGTCGTGGGTGTTGGGGGGTTTTACTTATGGTCAGTTCGAACCCTACATGGTGGTGGGGAGCCCGTTGGGAGGTGTTCCGGGGCTGGCGTCCCATTGACCCTCTGCGAGAGAATCAGGGGTTCAAATCCCCACACCACCAATACAAACCACCAGCTACAGCAACTAGGGCTTACCTTATGTCCCCAACCCCGTTGAGGCGGTGCCCCATACAAAAAACAAAAACGCGTCATAGCAAAGCGAGTCCAGGGCTGATGTTGACCACTCAAAAAAAGGGGTGTCGCAGGGTCTGCAAGGGGTGCTTTTCCCAACTTGCCCCAGGACCTGCCAACAGGGCAAAAGGTCAAAACGTGTTTGAGGCAATGACTAAAACCGGACCTAGGCTCACTTTGGGCACACCAGGGTGCAATATCCACAATAACTTCAACCGAGATTCTCCGCTCTTGGGTTACAAGTGGCCTTGCCGGCCAAGAACGACACCTTCAAGAGAAACAGTGGAAGGCAACCCTCCTTTGTAGATGTGGTCGATGTTGGCTCAACTCATTGAGTCACAGTCCCAAGTGTCGGATTGTTCCCCTTTCGAACCCCAAAGGGAGTTTTACGTTTCCCTCCCCCAAACGAAGGGCGTGGGTTCCGGAAGCAGATCTCGCGTCGATTTCCCTCAAGCCAATCTGCTATTCAATCAGCGGTACAGAGTCATTGAGCTTTCCCTCCCGGAGCGACCGATTTGGCTCGAATTGAAAAGTACGAGAATTGCAGAGCGCCCAAATTCTCTAGATTCTCCACTTGGCTCCCCCAAGGAGCTTGACAGCTTTGCTTCCAAGCAAAAAGGACTCAAGAATCAAGACACTAAATCAACATGCCAGGAGCAGTGAAGGAAAGGTCATGGGCAAGACATGACCAGAAAGGCCTGATCGTCATAAGGGTAGAGAGGTGGTCCCTGGCAATACAAAAGGACCCACAGCAGGTCCTACCCTTGCGGGTTGGTCATCCTGAGTTGGTGCTTGTTTGACCCTTCTTGGTTGGTTTGAAGAGAAGTCGCAAGGGAAACCACAAAACATACTTTAGGGGGGTTCCCCCTATTTTGACACATGCCACACATCCAGGACTATTGCGGATCTTTCGGCAAGGGAGCCAAGTGCTGAGCCATTCGGCTTGCCTGTGGCCTTTGGAGCCCTAGGCCTTTTCGGTGAGACGAAATCGAGACGTGGCTGGCCGAGGGAATGTGCGGCTTCAGTTGTTAAGGAAACCAAGAGGAAACCAAGAGGAAACCAAGAGGAAGCCAAGAGGAAGCCAAGAGGAAGCCAAGAGGAAGCCAAAAGGAAGCCAAGAAGAAGCCAAGCGGAAGCCAAGAGGAAGCCAAGAAGAAATCAGGAAACCAAGAGGAAGCCAAGAGGAAAATAAGAGGAAACCAAGAGGAAACCAAGAGGAAACCGATCACCCCATGTTAGGGGTTTGAGGGGCGAGGGTGGGCACAATTCTGAGACAAGACATAGGTCTGGTTGCAAACGAGATCTCGGACATGGAGGACAAATTTTGTTAGAATCGCAGGGATGGTTTGAAGGGCCCGGCCCTCCGCAGGTTCAAGCCTCAACTAAACCCTCCACCCCACATTGTATGTATATACATATATATATATACACGTATTTGTATCAATATACCTATATACTTAAATGTTGATATGTATATATATATATATATACAATGTACATATGTATACTGGGCTGTTCAAAATGGAGGGTAACTCAAAGTAAGGATTGAGGCTTAAGCGGCTTAAGGATTACCCTTGAACAGCCCAGGTTCTCTCGAATGAAAAACACCTAAGTTTAAGAATTGAACTCAAAGCGGCCACCGTAGCCCTTGACCCATCTACCACTTGGCCCAGACTTCGACAGGCGACATGTTCAACCCTCTTTCGGCGCTTGAAAGTTGGAGAGTGAGGGAATGCCGAGGCCAAAAGAGACCCTCTGGTTGCATTTTTTGTCTCCTGGAAAAAATGAGAACATATGTATGTCCATTGGTGAAACCGGTTCCCTTTGAAAACCAACAGGGGGGGTTAAAAAAGAAAAAGAAAGCGTAAGCAAATGGACGAGACGCAAGCGGTAAGTCTGGCAATGCGTGTTGTCAGTACCCCGGTGGATGCATCTAATTGTGGGTAGCCATCCCCTCAAAAGTGACGCGGTTCACCTCCCAACCAGACTCAACCAGCAGCTTATCAACTGGGCTCCTCTTGGCAAACGTTGCGGGGTGCTCCCATTCGGTGCAAATGATATGCTGGGAAAACTATTGGTCAGGAAACCCAAATCGGGTCCTTTTCCTGGGATGACCATCAGGGAAACAACAAACAAGGATGACATTCACTACTAAATGGGAAAAGTTACCCATGGAAATTTTGGGGCCAGGAAGACTGATCAACCCCGAAATGTAATTTTCTCAGTAAACCGCTTGCCATTTTTCTCAGAGAATGCAAGCAACAAACTCCAAAACGGGTACTGGCTTGCTTGTGAAAAAACAATCACCTCCGCCGTGATGTGCGCGCCAGCCACATGCTCCGTAGCAAGATTTGGGGCGCCAAGGGGGAAGGGGAGGTCGCCAAATGAGGCGAGAAGGGGGGCGGGTGAACACCACATGTCCAACCTAAACCAAATCTCTGCAATGAGAAACTCTACATTGACGAAAACCAGCACAGGGCGGGAATATATCCGATCATGATTTCCAGCACCCCCAAACGACTACCTGAAGGCAAAATGGATGGTATATAATATCCTTATTTTACTGGCTATGCAGTGATGGTATACCCCATGCTTCCCATTGCCATGACTACTTAAATCGTGTCCCATAAACAAAACTTTCCACAATCATGGCCAAGTACGCCACGACACTGACCTGCTGGCTTCCCATCGCAAAGCATACCAAGCCCTTCGCCCTTCGCTACAAAGAATGCGCAGTGTGCCGGTGCTCTTTCTTTAAGGCCAAGAACACAACCCCACAAAGGGCTTGATAAATGGGCGTGGCTCAAAATCAAGAGCCAGGGTTACGCAGGTTTTAGTCTTTGGTTCCATGTACCAAGGGGGCCATTTTGGTACATCTATCGCCGAGTGTTGAATGGGGCAGTGGACCAATGCGTTCAGAACCCCTGTGGCTTCCGCGAGCATCTCCTTCTGGAAGCCCAGATGAAGCGAATGGCTCGTCTTCAGAGTTGAAGTACCCCTGTTCGGGCTGGTTTGAAAATGGAAAGCCAGAAGGAAACCAAGCATTTTGGACGGGCTGGGATTCTTGGAGACATCACTTTGAGAAGCATACAGTTGGTCGATCTGGAGCCCCATCGGCTTCCAGCAACTTCCATCGGCTTCAGGTCACTCGAGTCCCCGATGCATCTGGGACCTCCACTCTCCCCAAGTAAGGCGTGCCCAAATGGAGGCGAAGCCAGCTGCTTGGTCGCACCCGATCGATCCCATGCAGTGCTGTTGTGTGGTAGTACTCAGCCCAAAATATGGGCGATCGACGGATCTTTGGCGCAGGCTGCTTAGTCCAACAGCCAGATCATGCTCCGACTGCAGAAGCTTAACAAATTCATGGGCCCTAACTGAACGTGATCAAGATATTATGCCGCCACAAAAAGTCTCAAGAAGTGAACTGAGGTTGGACAAGTTGCGGGTAAGGGAACATGAGGGAACATGGAGAAAATTAAAAAGGGCCGAGCAAAGGGCAGAGAGCTGAGATAAGTCCGGAACTGAGCAAGTCTTTAGGGAACCAGGAGTCAAGAAATAGATCCATCTGGGTGTGTCTTTTTGTAGGGGACCGCCAAAACACTGATTGTCCTTTTGTTCTTTTTTTCAAACAACAAAAAGGGAACCTCAAAGGAAACATACCCATCTTCCTGAGTGGATTGGCCAAAAAAGTTCAGCACCTCTTTGTTCACTGCCAAACACACGTCGAAAACTCTTTCGTGGACACAGGCCAAGACGAGCTGGGTCCGGAAAATGCCCTCGGAAAATCTTGCGCCGCCGCTCGAGACGTGGGCGCCTCTTTCCTGAGCGCTCGGCTGACGCATCTGGAGCTGCGGATAGTTTTGGGGGAAGCTCTCTGTCCGGGGAGTCTAACGACCAACAAAACCCCCCCCCAAAGACTTTTTTAGGGTTTGAAGTGAAGCTTCAGCTCCCCGCAAAAAGGGAAGCTGCAAAAGGTGAACAACGTGTTTTGTGGGTCCACGGTTTCAACCAAAAAGTTAAAGTCCAAAGATACAACCAAATTGGCCAGAAAGTTTGGAGCCCGGTGGTTTGGTGGTGAGTGGTTTCCCCGCTGGCGTTGTTGATCCATGGCAACCAAAAAACAACCCCGTTGCCCTATCTTTCACTTGAGATCTCGCCAAGTCTGGTATTTGTTGATCAGAATTTCAAAAGTCAAACGCCTGAACCCAATCGTTCAGTCGATTGGATAGCTGCAGAACACTTAAATATATTCACAGTTCACACACCCCTTCCCACAAGCCGTATCGAATCCGAGATAAGCTGGCGGTCGTCTTCAACCCCTGGTGCACTTCCATGATTGGAAAGAGGATATCACAAAAGGCATGGACTTTCCGCACCCATCTTGGGCACTCTCTTGGTCTGGGCCCACATCTAAAGCATCCCAAAGCAACAGGAACCAAACGAAGAAGCCTTACCACGGAGTAGCAGAGTCAGCACGAAGTGTCACTGCCCCAAAATATGCTAACCCCGGATCGATGGCAGGAGTCCTTACGTGTTCCTTTTGGGAAAAAGGGCCTTGACCTGGTGCAATTTCAAGTTTCATGGTTGGAAACAGGGTGTCAAGTGGGACACCTGCAAGGAGAGTTGAATCTGTCGTATCACAGAAAGTGGCTTGCCCACCCAATTGTCTGCCATGCCAGAGCACAAATCAAAACACCACAAAAAAACATTCGCGGAAAAAGCACGTTGCCCTTCGTACAAACCATCGTTCGAGTCACGGCCATGGGCAATGGTTGTCTCTTCCTAAGCGGTTCAAGCCGCCCCGAGTCGCCCCCAAAAACAAGCGTGGTTTAATGACAGGTAGCAACACTCCTTGATATGCGGGGGGGGGGCTCGGCATCCTTGGGCAAGGGAAAGGTACTCTGACACGTGTCCCACCCGTCTTCCCATCTTTGGCTCGGATGCCCAGTGGCCATTGGCAAAAAACGGATCGGCATCCTTTTTTTGGTTGGTTGACTTGAAAGGAATCGGAACCCTTCCCAAAACAGGGAAAAAAGGAAGCAACCTTTTGGGCAACTGGGTTGAGGCCTTCAAGGAACGCCGAAGGGAAAAACCCCACCTGTGGGAGTTCGACAAACTCGCGGTCTCAAAATCAGACCCAAGTTGGTACATATGTTGCTCTCCCAAACCAAAACCATCAAAAGGAATCAAGGGAACTCATGAGACCCCCTGGTTGTGTGGGCAGTTCAATTCAAGGGCCCAAATAGTTAGACGGGGGTTGTGGGTACTACGCCAGATTTGGCCATGGTTAATTAGTAATTAGATATAAACTAGATCGTTAGTTGATCTACTCGCTCTATTGGACTATCTACTGGCTGATATGCGGGTTCTGAGTACCACTAAACCCAGGGACACCCCCCTATTAACAAACGGACACCTAAGTTGGTTTCATTCAGCCTCCTTAATGTTGACCCCAAATAAATCAACCCCAGCTTGTTGACATGGGGTGTTCCCCTCCAAAAGTGACATTTTTCACGAAACCCAGAAATGGACACCCCTATTAACAAAGGGTCACAGGGAACCAGTCCCTTCTCCCTTTGCGCCTAGCTGCTGCCTGAACTCAACTCACGGGCCGCGCAACGGCCTGGAATCGGTAGGCTTGCTGCTTGCCCAGTCGGAACTCTGGGGGGTTGTGCCACTTTTATTCGAGGCCTCCGTCCGAAAAATCGCTGTGGCGGCCATGAAATGTTCACTCCCTTGACTCCGAAGTGCTGGCTCCTTAGAGGCCGGGGGGTGGAGGGGGGGGAGGTCCTAAGCCTTAGTCACTTCCGATTTTCCAACACACTGGCGGCAAAAAAGGCTTTGTTGGCCGCCATCCAGCGGCCGAGAAGTGACTGAAGCCAGAAACTCGGGGAGTGAGCCAAGCGACCAAAGACGAGCAGGGGGTCTGAGTCCATGAGTCTTCTGGGGGGGTCTGAGTCCATGAGTCTTCCCAGGGTTCCCATAGCCGTGAGGTTGGGGATCAACATAAGGAAACCGAGGCTTGTGTGCCCCCAACCCCCAAGTAAAAAGGGAAAGAAACATGGCCGGCCCGGCCATCTACTCCCTTCAAACTGGCGGCAACTGGTGTGCCCCTCCCTTTAAAACAAGCCGAGCCGAGCCGGCCGAACCACCTGTTGAAACCGGAGGGTCCGATCCCAAGCCAAAAACCCACAGACGTGATCAAAATGCCCCGCCTCAAGGCCTTCGCCCCATTTAAGGGTCGGGGAACCTGCACTGAGGAGAAGACCAAACTTGTTGTATGCCGCCAAAATATAATGTAAACATAATGATGAAGATATACCATAGGAAAGTAAATATAAAGGAAATAATATTGGATAATAATTCACTTCAAGGATTTTATAATTACAGTTAATAGCTCTTTACAACTCTCGATCTTCCAACAACAAAGTATACAGTCCAATTCAGAAAGTGAGCTCGGGTCGGCAGTAAGAGGACCACTCAGGCGACACACGCAAAGGGCTGGGATTTAGTGTCAGGCCTAACGTGCACGTTCAGGTACCGTTTCTGGATGCATTGAGGTTATACACTTCCGCACCACTAGCAAGAAGGATGCACTGCTTTAGGACCATACCCCAGATGTGATGGGTACGTAATAACTGCCCATACCTCCAGAACTCTCGGATGGAAAATAAATGCCGGCTCCTTCCTGTGATACGGTTTAGTGGGATGTGAATCTCTCTCACTGGTTCATCGTTTGATCAAATGGTCCTTACATGGGATGACCTTTGGGGAAAGTTATGGATGGTCAAACTGGGTGCCATGCATCCCACATGCCATCTGACGATCTTGCATCTCTTCTTTGGCCCCCGGGTTGGCCGCCGCTTGACCCCCTGAGAACCGGTGGGTCGCTGTTTGTTTCAAAGCTTGAAAGAAAGGTTGTCACCTCAGATGCCCTGCGGCCATGGGAAAAAGGAATCGGCATCCTTTTTTGGTTGGTTGACTTTAAAGGAATCGGAACCCTCCCCCCCCAAAAAACGGGAAAAAAGGAAGCAACCCACAGGGCATCCAGGTCACAAACAGTTTGCACCGAAGCAAAAGGGGAAGAAACCAACCCGATCTACCAGAGTGTTGGCCGAGCGCTTGCTGGCCAAGGCGGTGACTGGCCGTCGGAACCTCTCCCCGAACCCAAAACAGACTTTGACACGCTGGCCAAAGGTGAAAAGGAGGGAGAATCACATACCTCCCTATCCTCTCCATAAACATCGCCGAAGTTGAAAATTCCCTTTTTGGCGCAACAGGTGGGTGTGTCTGCTTAAAAGTTGGACCCCCAAACTTGTGCTGTTCCTTTTGGTGTTGATTGCAAACCACCAAAGAAGCGCGCACCAGCTCCAAAAAGGACACGCCCACGTGATGATTGCAGCCACCAACAGGTATCCTTACATTATACACCTGAACATTGCCTTGTAAATGGTTTGTTTCCACCAACTTTATTTTGGTGTTGAACAAGCCATGTGTCCAATGGTTGCAAAATGTGTGTTTTAAGGAGCCCTGACCAACAAGCGGACGCAGGAGCCCTGAATCACGCCTCCAACTCCTCCTGCAACTTCTCCTCTCGGTCCAGCCTCAGCGCTTGAACGCGCGAAACGCCTAGCGACGTGCGAGGCGTACCTGGTAAGGTCACAGCCACGGTCCATATTCATTGTTTCCCCAACTGCATGGGATTTGGTGAGTATCCCCAATTTCGTAATGGCAATTTGGTGAGTATATCCAATCACATGGCTGTGGGTCAAAACCAATGGGATCCCATTTTAGGGTGTTCGGTGCACCACACATTTTAGAACCTATTTTTGTGGTGGGATTGAATCGGATGTTCACTGGGGGCTAACCGATTTGACTTTTGACCCATGGCCATGGCTTAAGCCATGGCTTAAGCTGCCACGCAAAATTGGGCTGGAATCAGTTAAAAGAAAATATCCCTTCCTGCAGCGTCAAGCGGTCACTTATTTGCGAATCTCTCTGCGATTCACCCTGCGACTCAGCGCCCGGACGACGCTTTGAGGTCCTTCATGAGGGCCACTTCCTAAGTTGCCATGGTGTGAATGGAATCATCTTCTTGGTTCCATAGGTATGGAATCAACATCGGTTTCGGGAATGACCTAGAGATTTGATGAAAGGATATTTAAGCGATACAGCTCGGTGTCATTCCCTCCCTTGAGTGGATTGGTCAGAAAAAAGTCGGAAGAGTTGCAGTTTGCCAATGAAATTGTAACCAGCCCCAAAAGTGACTAGAGCCCAAAACGGAACTCAGGAAGTGATCATCTGCAGACATGGGGCTCCAAAAAAAACTGAACGGAGTTGGCCTCAAGACACGCCCCTGGCAAATGTTCGTAACCTCACAGATCGGAGACAGAATGTCCGATCAATTTTCTAAAGAACCTGGTCGACGGGTTGGTGAAATTAAAACCCCCACCAAACCCTAAAAGGCTAAACATCTAAGTGGATGGCTGGGAGCCACCAAGTGAAAACCAAAAGCGCTTTGCCAGTGCCAGGCCACGTGCTTCCGCGAAGTCGTCAACTCTGCAGCCACCTCGGCCAAGCGGCCAAGCGGCCAGCCAAGCCCGGGTAGCCCGGGTTTCGACCAAGAAAGCTGTTCCCGGGGGGTTTGGTTCGCAAGATTCTGTTCGTGGGATTTACTCTCCCTCGAACGGAACCTGACAGGGTCCATTTAAAAGGATCAAATGGTCTTCCAGGACCCCCCAAACGTCAGGTTCCATGTTCCTTGGTGGGAGGGTAGAAAGCAAACAGAATTTGAGGACATCACTTTTTCCGGAACGCTTGGGGGCCGCCCCAAAAAAGGCTACACCAGCCTACTCTCCGATCGTCTCCGTTGCTGGAGGGTACTTGGTATGCAGGCCCGAAGTTGTGGCTTCACACGTTTTGGGGCTCCCAAGTTTGACATGAGCGAACTTGGCAAACCCTGTTCCCGACTGTTGGGAGATTCCCAAACAACTTTGTCTTATCTGCAACCCCCACCTAAAACAAACAAAACCACAAATACACCCATGCAAGCAACACACATACTATTTCAACAAAAACAGCTACGAATACCCTCTCCCCATACCGACTTTCCAGGAAATTGTTCAGCGCATTTGTTGAAACCTCTCCCCATACCGACTTTCCAGGAAATTGTTCAGCGCATTTGTTGAACAAATCGGATCCCTGAAGAGGGCCCTTCATGGACCAGACCTGCTGCGAAGATGTTCAGATTCCGCTCGGTTCGTCTTCAACGAACATATGACGTCACAAGCCCCCAAGGGCCCAAAAGAAACGGGAAGACTGAGGAAGAGAGACAAAGAAACTAACGTCATCCAACTGGGTGTGTCTTTTTAGGGAACCCACAAAATGCTTCTAGATTCCTTTTGGTTTCCCTTCCAAACCACAAAAAAATGGTTTCTCTAGGTCTAGGCCGGTGGGTTGACTCGTTTCGGGCACACAAATCGTGTCCATCATGTCTGCGCCTACTCTTGGCTGCAGTCCAGTCACAATCAGGAAGAAAGTTCCAACTACATGAAAAGAAAAGCAAAAACTAAACCCAAAGCAAAAAAAACAATCAAACAGCAAAAACCACTTGTTTCCCCAAGCAAACAAATCGGGAAATGAGGCCGCCCCCGGGGTTGTGCAGCTCACTTCGATCCGGGGATCCGCCCAAAAAAAGACCGAGCATTTGGTTTGCCACTAAGTTGTTGTTTCTCTTTCCCTGTGGTGTCCCCACTCTTTCCCCTTTTCCTGCAGTTTCGCCTTGGTTTCCACGTGAATTTCCTTTGCTTTCCGTCTCCTAATGTCCCCTCCGTCCAGCCACTCCACCCCACTAGCCCCCCCCCTTCCCCGCAGCCCCCACTCCACCCACCCCACCCCCCACCCACCCCACCCCCCAGCCACCCCCCACCCGCCACCCGCCACCCGCCACCCCCGCCGAGGCGCGGAGGTGGCCTTGCGCAGCGTCTCGTCCAGGCGCTCTGCGAGCTGCTCCTGGGCGCTCAGCGCGTCCGCGAGCCGCACCGCCTGCTCCTCGCGCGAGGCGAGCGCGCGGATCAGGTGCGGGGCGTGGGGGGGGGAGGAAGCGAACGACCCAGCCAGCGCCGGGGGGGGTGGGTGGGGTGAAGGGGTGGGGGGGTTTTGGGGAAGAGGCCGGTGGGCTTTGGGTGTGCTTTCTTCTCTGATGCTGGAGAAGTTTGTCTGGATGGTTTGTTTGGTGCCTGTTTTTGGAAGATGTGTGTTTGGTTTGATTGTTTTTGTTCGTGTTTGCTTTTTCGGGAGAAAGACAATCGGGTGGCTTTCTCGGTTTTGTTTGGTTAAAAGAAAGAGGAATCAACCAGTTGGCAGAACCACTTCTTGGATGATCGTTCTTAGGTGGGTTCAAACATGGTTGGGAGAATTGAGTACCCACTCCCTTCACCCATCCTTCTGGGAAGCAACTGTCCCTTGGGGAGCTAAGTGAATCTGCTACAGTCAAATGTGATGGGGGGAGAGCCTTCTCCTACAAGCTTCCCATCTGTCCAACCAGAAAGCAATCCTCGCAGACTTGTTTTTCGTGCTGCTTTGAACGAATGCATCTGACCTTGCCAACAAGTTCTTCCCATGTCCTTCTGTAAAGCTATTTTCTGCTTCCAAGTGCATCGGGATTGTACGGCAATCATTGAAGGGGCGCTTGCACCGCTTCTCTGATCCGGTCAGTCTCTGATTGCTGGCTGCGAAAGCCCACTGGAGGCACGTCAAACTGCCACCTGGGGCTTCTATGAGCCATGCCTTTAGTCCCCTGAAGGACATGAACCCAAAAATTGGGGTCCATCGACTGATAAATTGCACCCAACATATTTGTTTGCCAAAAGCGAAAGAAGGGGGGTCAACAGGAGGATGTGGGTGTCTTTTTCAGGGGACCCGACTCAAAATGGTGTCGCTCGCATCCATGTGTTTCCCAGGTCTTCTTGGTGTCTCTTCCAACTTCGGAAGATCAAGAAAGATCCCATCCCAAAAAGGAATCCAGCATCTGTTGGGTCCCCCTTCCAGGAAATGCCAATATATAGGGGGGTTGATCAATACTCCTTTTGGCCCCCAAATAACGATGGGTATGTGTTTTTGCAATTTAATGGGAAGTATCATCTTAGTGGTTTTCCCCCGCCATATGACAGCTTGTTCTTGAAAGACCACCTTGGATCAATGGCCCTTTGAAATGGACGTGCTCTCTGGTGAGTTCCATGGAAACGTGGAAAGGAGTTGCCCAAATAGAAATACAAGGTTCAGCTGTTGGCGCCACTGAAAATGCCTCAAACCTGGAAACCCCAACAGGTCAAAGGGTCGAATCCCCTTGGGCAACTGAGATCTCCAAAGACCTTGGGTGCTGCAGATCCCCACCAAAAAGTGGTTTTTCTTTTTGCTGGCTAAAAGGACATATGAGGGGAATCCAAAAAGCTAAAAAGTCTAAAGATCCAATATAGCTGCATGCTTCTTTTGCTGGATTTAAACCATCCAAAAAGCCGCCCACCCAGAGAACCACCCACAAAGCTCTCGCCTTCCTGAAGCTTCCCCCCCCCTCCTCCAGCTCTTGGGACAGCTGCTTCTCCCGCGCCTGCGAGTCCTCGCAGGCGGCGGGAGAGGCCCCCGGGCCCCCAAATCCGGGGTTTTTGGGAGTCGGCGACAGAAAGAAAAGCTCCCTATGGCCTTGGCAAAGGAAGGAGCGAAGAGGTTTGGTTACTTGGGTATGAATATTCCAGGGTTGAGTCCTTTTCCATTCTTTTCAGCCATCCTTCCTTTCAAGAACCGGCCAGTTCCCAGGGTGTTTGCTGGTTCTCTAGAAAGATTCGGATCCCTGGAAAGAATGGGGAAGCTACCCCTTGAGTGTTGCATGGTTCAACGCTCTGCACCGAAGGGAAACTTGACTGCCACGACCCCTCGTGGCAAAAGTCGTGGTCTCACTTTTTGTGGCTAAAGTCCAAGGATCCAACCAAATAGCCATAAATTCATAAAGATCTTGGGGGTCCCCTATTTTGATTGGGGTCTCAAAATGCTTGTGCTCTGACTACACTGTCATGTAAACTTTTCATCTCGGTACGCGTGCGAAAATAGGTGTCCCAACACGGGCCCTTTCTGACTGAAACATAGTTTGGGAATGGACAAAGTATCCAGGGACTCTTGAGAGGTTGATGATTTGTTGATTCACCAGCCCGAGGTTCGGCCAGGAATCCATAAGGGACCTTCAGGTGAGCTCATTCTGCCAGGCTCGTGGTTTGCGCGTCCAGAGCAGTAGATCATCTGCGCAAGAACGTTCGGTCACGAACCGAAACCTTTGGTGAGGCTACAGAACGAAGACCCTGGTATGGACAATGGACATCCTGGGGATGTTCTGACCAAACACTTCTCAGTTGAGCCCCTAGAAACATTTGGTTTCCCTTTGGTTTCCCTATGGTGGGTGTCCTTTTGGTTTCCCTTTGAAACCACAAAAATGGGTACCCTCAGAGAAAGGGCACACCCACATGAATGTGGATTTTAATCCCGAAGCTCGTCCATTGTAGAAACCTTCCTTTTTGGGGAGGTCAAGAACTACCTAACCCTATGGACTTACAGCAAAGTGTGTCCCCATACCGAGGGCGCCCCACAACGAATCAGAAACAGCATTTCAAAAGCCCCGAAAAGTTGCACTTTGGGATCAGCACATCTTCTGAGTGGCGGCTGATTGATTTGAGGAAGTGCAGTGGCTGCTGACGCATGATAGGTAGCCAAGAACAGTTCTGATTCGCATTGTCAAGGTCCTGAACACTGGTCGAAGGAGATGAGTTATGAGGAATACCCTTCTAAATGGGAGTTCACTTCATCGAGTACAAGAAAGATGTCCTGCATGGGACATCATGTTGACCCTGGATTAATAAACCCCAGTTTATGAATAGGCCTAGGTTTAGTGGGAGTTCATCACTTTTGGAGGAGCCCCCACCCCCGTATTCATACACAGGTTGGTTGATTGATCCGCAGGTCAACATTACTCCCCCAAACCCAGGCTACCCCAGGTGAAAGGAATATACGTCAACAATTCAGCCAACCTGTTTATTAGTATGGGTGTGGCTCAGAATTCACGATCTAGGGCTACGCAGGTTTTAGACTTCGGTTCCATTTATCAAGGTGGCCATTTTGGTACCAGGTTTTTGAGCCACGGCCATAGGGGGGTGAACAAGGGTCAACATTCGCCTCTGAAGTGTCTGACCTGGCAAAGCAGTGTAATCTACACCTCCGGTAGGCTTTTGCTGTTTCATGTGGCCTGAAGTTCGGTGTGCGTCTTTTTCTAGGCACCCTTTTTGCCGCTACCTCGAGTCTCCATGACCCTAAAAGAATGAAGCATTACCAACAATAATAGGGTCATTGACCCATTTTTAAAGGGTCATGGAGACTCCAGGTATGTCGAGTCCGCCTATGTGGCGCCCTGCGTTTTTCTCTCCCGCCTGCAGGTCCACCGACATGGCCTGCTCCCGCTCCAGCGCAGCAGACAGCTGGCCCTCGAAATCACGCCGAATCCAACGAGTCGCGGCACAGGCATCGCAACAAACCGCCACGAACGCAGATGTCCCTGGTCAATGGGACAAATCATGGGAAAATTGATGGACCTTTGAGAAGATAGATCGGAAAAACAAACCATGGAACCTTTGGACATATGGCGGATCCTTTGGTGGACATCATTTAGGTGGGGATTCATGTCCACCAATCACTTTTGAGGTGGTTCCCTATTAAAATTCATGCCATATCGATGAAGTTCACTGGTACATGGATGCCATACCCATCCAAACCGGTGGCTTGCCCGTCTATGGTCCAAACGAACCCCTTGTTGGTTTCGGTGCAAGGCTCCTTGCGACTGCAGTTCCTGAAGGGATAGAAATTCGGGTCCTGGTAAAGGGGAAATAGAAAGATGCCAAAGGAAGCCATTCACCAACTTTTCGCCAACTCAAGGTATGGTCCAACTTCTCACCAACTCAAGGTGTGGTCATCTTTTGAAGGCCGAAAAAGCAACCCTAGGAAACAATGAACCTCGGCCAGACTGATCTGACCGATGCAAAGAGTTGTACTTGAGACGATTGATGGGGCAACTAATAAGAACCCAAAGCAAAAAGTTCCAATGCTACGTCTAGCAATCGAAATATTGCGGCATTTTCCTCTAGAATAGTATTCCATGTATGTTCGCTGGGAAACCACAACCGTAAACTGGAGAACATTGTTGTGTAGAACGCTTGGCTTTCTCTCCGGAAAATCGGGCGCGTTTGCTTTGGAAGATTGGTGTGTCTATTTGGAAAGTTGTCGCAAAAAGGGTCTAGATGCGAATGGAGTTTGTGTTTTCTTCGGTTGGACGTTCTTCCCTTGCATTTTCTTTGAACGAGTGCTGCTTGGTTATCTCCTCAGAAAATCCTGCAAGTCGGAAAACAAGTGTTCGCAGTGGACATATGTTTGATGGTTCGTCCTTTGAACAAGTAATGTCTAGTTGGAAACTCCGTTGCTCCTTGTTTTGTCCCTTCGAATGTTGCAGCCACCCCCCCCTCCCCCACACGGAAGATATGAGTGCATCTCTTTTCAGGGGACACCCGAAAATGGTGGTTTTCCGTTGGATTCCCTATAAAAATCACGACAAAGGGTACCACCAAAAAAAGATGAGTCGCCCATATGAACAAAAAACCATGAGGCAAAGGTTCTCATGAGGCAAAGGTTCTCGCTTCGCATCATTAGGTCGCAAATCTTTGTGTTGGTGGTGTTGAAGGGAACACCAAAAGGAAAACCACCAATGAAAAAAAAAACTATCCAACCCAAAAAAGGTACGCGCCACCCATCCAGCGCTTGTCTTTCCCTGGAGACAACCCCGGTGGACTAACCCCGGCTCGCCTGCAGCTCCGCCTCGCGGGCTCGGGACCTCGAGGCGTGAGATGGGCTTTCATAACCAGCGACCGGAGAATTTCTGGCGAATTTCTGGGTATGTGTTTTAATAGGGTGCGGTTTATTATGAAGCCAAAAGCGAAAAAGCCCTAAAATAAATACCCCTCCGTTTTAATAAGGGACCCTTTGGTGGACATCAAATTTAGGGGATTTATGTCCACTCACTTTTGAGGTGGTTGAAATGCATGGCCATCTACAGGTCTGCAAGAGCAACAGGAGGAGCTACCCTCCCCCTGTTTGAATTTGAGGAGGGTTTGCGGTGGTGGGGAAGGGCCGACATGGAGCTACAGGAGGATTTGTGCAGGAGCAACGACACGACATGGTTTCCATGACATGCTTCTTTACTGGAGATTGTTTAAAGGAAATGTGCAAAAACACCGACCAAAAACAAGGATGGTACCAACAAAAAACAGAAAGGGTATGCTTGGCAAAATCCACTTGAGCAGCGCCCGTTTCACCCAGTGACTTGTGGTTCTACCAACATGGACTATAAAGGCTTATATAGGCCTCGCAACCCCTGTGACACCAGGAAGTGCAACCTTCAAAAGTGACCAACAGGGTCTTGGGCGCTCGCCATAAGGAAACTTGGGGGATACTCGTCATTGGGAACACCCATGCAACATTGACTGTGTCATTTTCTGATTCAGAGCCCACGCGCAAAGGAAACCATTGCAGCCTAGTGACTAGTAGACACTGATGGTCATGTTTAAGCACCATTGAGGACCAAATGCCATAACCTTTCAATGGTCCCCTTGCTACAGCGTTGAATCCATATTGGCCCATGTGCATTGTGTTGACAGCTTATCGTCTTTGTTGCGTCGTTGCTCAGGAATATATATATATATACATATATGTGTGTGTACATCAACCAGAAGCAGCATGTTGAACCAAAATACGTAGGGCTGTATATGTATACATTTATGTGTATACATTTATGTGAATGAATAAATAAATAAATAAATGAATGAATGAATGAATGAATGAATGAATGAATGAATGAATGAATGGATGAATGAATGAATGAATGAATGAATGAATGGATGAATGAATGAATGAATCAATGAAAGAAGGAATGAAAAGGAATGAAGGAATGAAGGAATGAAGGAATGAAGGAATGAAGGAATGAAGGAATGAAGGAATGAAGGAATGAAGGAATGAAGGAATGAAGGAATGAAGGAATGAAGGAATGAAGGAATGAAGGAATGAAGGAATGAAGGAATGAAGGAATGAATGAATGAATGAATGAATGAATGAATGAATGAATGAATGAATGAATGAATGAATGAGTGAATGAATGAATGAATGAACGAACGAACGAACAAATAAATGAACGAATGAAGGAAAGAACGAATGAACGAATGAACGAATGAATGAAAGAATGAAGGAATGAAGGAATGAAGGAATGAAGGAATGAAGGAATACAGAAATGAAGGAATGAATAATGGATGAAGGAATGAAGAAGGAATGAAGAAGTCAAGGAATCAAGGAATGAATGCATGCATGCATGCATGCATGCATGCATGCATGAATGAATGAATGAATGAATGAATGAATGAATGAATGAATGAATGTATGAATGAATGAATGAATGAACAAATGAACGAATGAACGAATGAACCAACGAACGAATGAACGAATGAACGAATGAACGAGTGAGTGAGTGAGTGAGTGAGTGAGTGAGTGAGTGAGTGAGTGAGTGAGTGAGTGAGTGAGTGAGTGAGTGAGTGAGTGAGTGAGTGAGTGAGTGAGTGAGTGAGTGAGTGAGTGAGTGAGTGAGTGAGTGAGTGAGTGAGTGAGTGAGTGAGTGAGTGAGTGAGTGAGTGAGTGAGTGAGTGAGTGAGTGAGTGAGTGAGTGAGTGAGTGAGTGAGTGAGTGAGTGAGTGAGTGAGTGAGTGAGTGAGTGAGTGAGTGAGTGAGTGAGTGAGTGAGTGAGTGAGTGAGTGAGTGAGTGAGTGAGTGAGTGAGTGAGTGAGTGAGTGAGTGAGTGAGTGAATGAATGATTGATTGATTGATTGATTGAATGAATTAATAACTGAATGGATGAATGCATGAGTGAATGAATGCATGAATGAATGAATGAATGAATGAATGAATGAATGAATGAATGCATGAATGAATGAATGAATGAATAAATAAAGAATGAATGAAGGAATGAATGAAGGCAGGAATAAATGAAGGAATGAAGGAATGAAGGAATGAAGGAATGCAGGAATGAAGGAATGAAGGAATGAAGGAATGAAGGAATGAGGGAATGCAGGAATGAAGGCATGAAGGAATGAAGGAATGAAGGACAAATGAATGAATGGTTTTATGCATGTACGAATACTGTATTAATTTATGAAGTATGAATGTATGAATCTAGGAATGTATGAATGTATGTATGTATGAATGAATGAATGAATGAATGAATGAATGAATGAATGAATGCATGACTGACTGACTGACTGACTGACTGACTGGCCGACTGACTGACTGAATGAATGAATGAATGAATCCATGAAGTATGAATGTATGAATCTAGGAATGTATGAATGTGCTAATGTATGAATATATGTAAAGAGGCATGCAATGTGTATGTGTGTGTATGTATATGTGTGTATACATGTATGTATGCACGTACGCCTGTATGGTCATGCAATGTAATGTATGTATAATTTCACGGTATTTTCACGGTGATTTCACGCTACTTTTGCGTACATCACGGACCGCTATGTTCACACCAAAATTGGTGTGTCAAGACATGTTGGGGTGGAACAGGCTTTGTAGAATCTAAACGTGGCAACAGTATGAACAATCCATCAAATACCACGCCATGGCTCATTGCAGGCGCAAAAATCAGGCTTTAGCTGCAAAAAACAGGCGAGGTGCAAAGGACGTTTTAAAAACAGTCGTGGATTTCCAGGGCTAATGTAATGCAAGTAAAGTAATGTAATGTAGTGAAAGTAAAGGAATGGAATGGAATGTACAGGAATGGAATGGAATGGAGTGGAATGGAGTGGCATTGAATGAAATGGAGTGGAGTGGAATGGAATGGAGTGGAATGCATTTATAAGAGTATATACACCTAAATCAAAACCCCACAGTTGCGGTGGCATTGGGCAAGGAGGATTTGTTAAGAATCACCAGGCAAGGATTTCACGAACGCCCAAAGCTTAACATCCGAGCGATGGACAGAATCTAGATGTTGCTTTCAAAAAAAAAAAACGATGGATTCCGATTTGCCATGGCAGTTTTCAACCGCCGAGTTCCGGTTTCCCTTCAACTGCAACCCCTGTTTTATTTTTGGGGCTACCCCACAAACAAAGAAGGGAACCCACTCCCAACGTCGAAAACTGGGACCGCCCTCCCTCATCCCACCACAATTTCACAACCAACCCAAAACAAGCTGTCCCCCCCCCCCAAAAAAAAAAAAGGAACTCAGCCCACCAGAGAAAAAGAAAGAAATGCCCCCCCCCCAACAAAAAACAACAACGGCCCACGAGAGAAAAAAAACACGGAAATGCAACTCTCCCTCCCCCCTCAAAGAAACGAGAACATCCACCGCCCCTCCCCCCACCCACCCCCCCCCCCCCGAACGCCCCACAGTCGATGGCCAGCGGCTCGGTGAGCGCCGTGATCAGCTCCGCCATCTGCTCCGTGGAGTTGTCCAGTGCCGCCTGCAGCGCCACCTGGCGACGTCGACGTCGCGTCGAGGGCGGCCGAAAATGGTCGTTGTCCTGTTGTTTCCCTCTAACACAACCCAGAATTCGAGTCTCCTTAAATGTGGCCTTCCCAGGATTGGTTCCCTCTTCCACTCCCAAATAAGCCTTGCCTTTTGCAAGGCAACTGCTTGAACCACCCCAACTTGGGGTGGATTGGAACTAAACACGTGAATACATGATGTGAATTATGTACGGTGGCCGCCCAAAAATGGGGGAAACCAACCACCACCCCAACCTACGATTTCTAGGGCCCGCGGTCTCGGCGCCCGAGCCGTGCCTCGCGCTTCTGAGATTCCTGCAGCTCCTTGCTGTAGTCCTCGCGAGGAAAAAGAAAGTCCGGAACCCGATTCCCGAAGAATCCTATTCTTTTCCCTGTGGGACATCCAAATCCGGTTCAACATCCAAACCAACCAAATCCAAACCCAAAACTCCCCAATAGGCTTTCAACTTGGGAGGGGGTGCAGCCAAACCACAATTCCAAACCACCAATTGAGGTCTCTGGATTTCCCCCTTGTTGGTTCATCATCCCCTTTACCAGCAAAGCATTTGTGCTAACTTTCACCCCGTCGCAATCTCGGGGCCTCATGGGCATCACCTGAAAAAACCCTGAATTGCTGACTCCCCTGTACATACCAACAATGCAAGACAATTGGTGGGCCCCACTCAAACCCGCCACTCTTGGAGGTCCTAGGGAAAATTGCGGAGGCCCATGTCCGGAAACCAGACGCAACGACCCTGAAGCTTTCAGGGGACACGCTTTCTTCGCAGACCCCAAAAAATGAACCGAACCATGTCAAGAACTGAATTCTTTGCAGACACCAAAAATGAACCGACAACAGTGAAGGAAATGAGTTGCCCATGGGTGTTAAGTCGCTTCAACGCCCTCATTTCATGCCCATGCTGCTCAGAGACTATTCTTGCTTTTGGGATTGAACCGAAAGAGGGAGGAAACCACGAAGGATGCTAGGATGCTTGGCCCACCAGCGCACAAAATGTTCATTGTGGTTCATATGTACCTTATAACCCAGTAAACATACGGTCGTGTCTTTTGGTTTGGGGGGCGCAACAACCTGGCAAGTGTCGTTTTGGTGTCCCTTTAAAGCAACAAAACTGGTACCCTCAAGAAAACGGCATCCCCATACAGAGCTTCCCTGAAACCCAGCTTTCGCGGTGGACGGCGCCCAAAACAAATCGCGCAGTTCCTCTCCCGCGCTGGAGCTCCCTCCCTCGACCCTCAAAATGGCGGGCCCTTTTGGACAAAAAGGAAATCACGCACTTCCGGGGTCCACCATGGGTGCGTCTTGTTTAGGGATCGGATCCCCCAAATCGGTCTTGGGCTTTCTTCTTCTTTCTTTTTTTTTGGGGGGGGGTCCTGTCACAAACAACGGGTACCGAGACTCCCAAAAAAAAAGTCGAGCCATTTAATTTGGACGTCGACTCAAAAACTGGTATCCAGAATGGCACCTGCTTTGCTGGAACCAAGGACTCAAACTTGCGGAACCCTGGCCCCACCGCCAGTTTGAGAACGTGGACTCGTCAGCGGCCTCCCTCTCGCAGCTCGCTTCGAGAGGCGACTCGCGCCTGGCCGTGCAACTCGATCTGCTCCAGTCGGTGCAGTAGCTCGTCTCGCTCTTTCCGGAGCGCTTCCACCTCCTCACCGTTTCCCGTGAAAAGGAGGGGGGGCAGGAAGGAGGGATCGGGGGCATGTCCGGGTGGGGGAAGTGGGATGCCCATGCGTTTGACCTTGTCACTTGGGAGGCTGGGGGAGGGAAGCCGTGGGGTTCCCAGGACCACGATTTCTTGGCGGCTGTGAACCTCAAAATGTGAAAATCCTCCAACCAATTCCCAGGAATGGGAATTGGACCGCAACGAGTTGTTGCTTTCTGAAGCCGACGACCTTTCTCTTCTAAACCTCAGCCTGCCCCGAACATTCCAAGGGGAATCCTCTCCACCCCAAGAATAACACCAGAGCAGCAGCCGGAAGCCCAAGCTGAATTTTAGTTCGGAACAACCGACAAGCTGAATCCAGGTGCAAACACGAAGCCAGGTCGATCACTGGCATGGACAGCCATCAGCTTTTCTTCTTTTGCGCCGCTCACCTAGAAGGCTAGAATGATCTGTCGGAGACGTTCGCCAAAGTGAGCGACCGAGCGCCCAAGACCAATTGACTTTTGGCAAGGTGTCACAGGCCTTACTAGAAGACCAGGTCGCAACCGAAGCACCTGCCAAAAAACAAGGCCCTCGTTTTCCTTTTCTTTTATTTTTTTGGGGGTGGGTGGGGGGGAATGGGCTTTGGGCACTCTGCCGACATAAAAGAAAACCAAAGACTGAGAAGAAAAAAGTCCCACCAGAACCACACGGCGATTTCGCTCTTAAAAAACTGAGCGTGGGCTCCCCCAGCCCCCGGTGGCTCCGGTCCTCGAGGTCCTTGGGCCTCACCACGTCGGCGCTCTTCAGCTCTTGCTCCCGCTGGATCTGGGCGCTCGAGAAGGCGCTCGCTCGCGAGCGATCGCTCGGGGTTCGATGGTAGCTTTATTTCAAGTCTGGTGGTGTTTAGCCAGGGCTAGTAACCATGTATCTAGGAAACGCTTTGGATGCGGCTTTTGTGGATCCACACCTGTAGGACATTGAGAGAGTACTAAAAGAGTACCAAAAAAGAACCTACAGGGGGAAGAACAGGTGAAATCTACAAAAAGCACATCCAAACCGTTTTCTATGTAAATAAGTCCCAGGCCTTCAAAGTATCTAGCCGACCAGGTACGCGGAACCGAAAGATCACAGCGCTGCCTGTCTATTCACTTCCAGCTGTTCAGGCCCAGAGAAATGAACATGCATCATGGCTTCCCCTCTTCGAATTGTGAATTCAAAAGCAACTAACTTCGGATTCATCAGTCCGCACGATTCTACGCTAGCCAGTCAGCGCAACCAAGTTAGCTAACTTTGATTTGTGTCAACGACAACTATATGTGTTAACTTCGGACTCATCCGGAGAACCATACCAATCTATTTCGGGGAGTCTGAGTAATAGGGTCCTCCGGATTAGTCAGTGCACACTACTCTCTTTCCGACCTTTCCCAGGTGAGAGCACTTTTAACCAAAGGACACCAATTGCATCAGCTGCCCGATCAGGTCTGTCTTTAGTTGGGGCTACCCTTGTTTGGTAGTTTCAAACAGGAAAACCCACCATTTTGGGGGTCCAAGCCTGAAAAAAGACGAGCCACCCGTAACATTGCGCCGCCTTTGCCGTTTCGTAGAAAGAAAGGACCAGGTCCCAACAGAGGCACCCGAGTCCGTTTCTCGCTCAAAGGCCAGAATGCTGGAAACATCCGAAAAAACCGCTTGGTTTGGTCCCATGGAAGCAATGCTGTTAGAGGCTTGCAGGGAGTACTTCCCTCCGAACTGGGTCTGATCGGCGGAAGAAACGACACCAGCACACCCCATCACATGCTCCGGAGGAAAAAGGTTCAACCAAACCATTCTGCTCTTGGTCGAAGGGCCTGAAAATGTTCAGTCTGGGCCTTGTAAGAAAAGCCCACGCCAAATGAGCAGTTTCCCTTGTGAAGCAACCCAAAAAGGCTGCCCTCTTTAAAAAGAAAAAACATGATGGCAAAATCTCTTGTGGATTCGCTTTGAGGTGATTTCTAAGGCCTGTGGTGAGAAACTTCACAAAGATCGAGGGGTCCCTTGGAGGGTTCTACGAATCCAACAGAAACAAATAAGAACAGGGGGTCCGCTACTTTGAGAAAACACAAATAGGCAATACAAAACTGTGGCCGTTTTTTTTGGCAATGCTGCACCCAGCCACCAGCCGTGCCTAGCCCTGAGAACTATATTGTTCCTCTCCTCCCACCCACCTTGATTCTTGTTTATGCGAAAATGTCCTTGGGCAAAAATCCGGTTTGAAAACTGATGTGTTGACAGTCATGGTAACCTCACACAAATCCGGGCGACTGCTCTGATCAGGGAGGCAACCACGAGTGACTGGTCAGAAAATGGATCTTGAGGGATGCCAACGTGCCATGGTCAAAACTCCGTATCTGTGGGTCATGGTCATGGCGCCCTCAATAACCTGTACATTCATTGTCCCCAAAGGAACAGGTCGATTGACCATGGCACATATCGAGTCAACCAAAAAAAGGGGTGGTTCCTCCACAAATCATAATTATTGGGGTTCCATATTAATCTGAGTGGAGATCAACACCTGGCATTAAAGGGGTCTACCCGAAAGCCTGTAAAGAATGTCAAGAATCAAGAGGGCAGATATCGGCACCAATTTCTAGTTGGGTTTGTCCTTGCTAGCCAAGAGTTGATTTTGATTGGGCTCATCTGGTGTCTCCAAATAGGGGACTCCAAACAAGTGAGTGGTGTCCTTTTACTTTCCCCAACCTGAAGAAGGTACCGAGCCCCAAGAGAAGGCACCATGCTCGTTTCGCCGCAAGTGTTGGCTGTTTCTTGCTTCCAAGCGACACACATCCAGGCAAACCACTTCTCTTGGAGGCTTCCAACTCAAAAAAAAGAAAGAGAGCCAACAAAAAAACACATATCAGACCCATCTGCCTCCTGGTTTTTCTCCTTCTCCCTCCCCTGGCTCGCTCTTTCCTGGCTCACCCGGCTCGGGCCCCGCGCGAGTTCTTGCACCTGGCGCTTCAGCCGGCCTTCGCTGTCCTGCAGGTTCTCCAGCTCCTCGCGTGGCGAGCGAGCGAGCAAGCGAGCGAGCGAGCCCGACGGGTGGGTTCGAGTTTCAAAAGCCGGCAGCTTGGGGTGGGGGAATCAAATTTCCAGGGGTCGAGGTGTAAAAACCGGCCAAAAGGGGGAAAAGGGGGGGAAGGAAGGAATCAATACATTGAGGGGTCGGTTTCAGTTTGGGTGGTTCACCACCAGCCAAAAAGGGGGGGGTTGCCACCATTTTGTTCTGCCTGGTTTGAGGTAGGAAAGCCAAAAGGGAAGACCCGCCATTTTGAGCAACACCCAAAGACTTGTGAATAACAGGGCCGCGCACGCCGCGTGAAGAAGTTGACGCATCGCGCCGTTTCGGGCTCGTTTTCTGGTTTTGGAGCTCATCCCCCTCTTGACAAATTTGACCGTAGACTACCGGATGTTTTGACGGAGCCTCAAAAAATATATGAATTCCCCAGACACCCACCGGCACACGGCTACCCCCTTCCTTTACCCACATTTTCTACGGCATATGCTGAGAATCCAGGTTTTCCATCTTCCAATCCCACAAAAGAAACCTTCTTCATAAATAAATATTCTGGCTCGTTATCATTTGCAGCTGTGGAATCATTTGGTGGGAAAACTTTCTGTGACACCAAAGTGGGATTCCCAACTGTTTGACTACTTTGTCATTGGGGGGGGGAGTTTCTTTGGTCACAGAAAAGTTGGAAAATCCCTAAAACCAATAGGAAGCCCACAACCCCATTTCACCCACCGAAACAGAAAAAAAGGACACCCTGTAGTGGGTAAAGCAAGGGCTTTCCAAGACCAAGTTTCAGCGGGTCTTCGGAGGCTTTGGAACCATGTCCCCTTTCCCAGATGGGCCCGGACCCCACCCCCTTTTAGAGTAGTTTAGTAAAAAGGGAAATCCCCTCCAACGAAAAGGAAAACAAGGAGCCCACTAAAAACAAGGCAAAAAGGCACCGCAACCCACTCTGGAGGAGATTCCGTCCTCCGACACCGTCTCGTACCTGCGGCAACCCAAGGTGACAAAAGATCGCAAGTCCCGGTAGATGTCAAGCGATTGAACCAAATCTACGTCCAACCACATGTTGTGGTGCTATGTATTTATTTATCTATTATTATTATTCTTTTTTGGGGGGGATGTCATGCTTTGTGTGTTGCTTGTCGTTGTTGTTGATTCATTTTGGGGGGGGGGAGGGGGGGGGGGGGGGGAGAATACGCTGGATGGAAGAAATCTTGCATGACTTTTGAAACAGATCCACGCCATCTTGTCCGCGCGCCATCTTGTCCGCGCCCCCTACTTAACATTGGTTCTCAGTTTGGCCAACTTGGGTTGGGTCACGCAAGATTTGTTTTGCCTCGTCACCGCTCAATGTTAAGTAGGGGGTGCGGGAAACATGTAGTCTTATAAACTCATGCAAGATTTCTCCCATCAACAGTATCATGGGGGTTCCCTTTGGAACCCTTTTTGCTGTTTGAAACTCCAAGAAAAGGTCCAGAGACCCAATCGTCACAAGTTGGTAGAAATCTGGGCCCTGGCACAGAGCACAGCTGTCATTGGCTGTTAGCTTTGGATTAATCAAAGGAAGGACCACACTTTGTTCACTACTTGAAACACCCCGTTGCCAGAAATAATTATGTGGAATACCCATCAAAGCCTGTCGGCCTCCATGGAATCTAATATGTTCAAACAAAAAGTTTAGGCTCCGAGACTAACGGCACTGAAAGCATTTCGAGCCTTGTCTAGGGTCTACACCTGGGGATTCCCTTTAGACAAAATCTAGCAGAGTGCTGGACGACTGAAACTCTCGGTGGAAACCACACTTGGATTCAGTGTCAAAAATGTTGACACCAAAAATGTGTGATCTCCTTTTGTGATATGGGAGGTTCTCGAAATTGGGTGGACCCCCTTTCAAAAGTCCAGGGGTGCTTGTACATACCCATTTTACATACCCCTTGGGCAAATGAACCCAAAAGGCCTGCTGATGTTCATAGGTATATAATATACCACTTATACAGTGGCTTGGAAACCAGGGAAGCCAAGGGGTATGAACAAGGGGTATGTACTTCCACCCTTAGAAAAAGGACCTCCCCCCACCCATTTTGGGCTGCCCTATCTTTGGGGGCAACATCCCAGGCAAGCAACCAACCCTGCAACCCTGTCCCGAAAACAAACAAAACCGCTGGCCCACATCAGATACAACAGAAAAACAAATGGGTGGCTCGTCTTTAGTTAGGGGACCCCCAAAATAAATGGCGCAATGGTGTCCTTGTGGTTGCCCTTTGAAACCACCAAGAAAGGGGTACCAACCTGATCCATACTTAGTCTACCCCAAGGAGAACACCAACCAAAGCCGATGATCCCCGCTGGGAGCCCCCACTGCTGCCGGGCGGTCTCAAGGGCGAACTTCAATTCGCGTTCTTGCTTCAGGGCTGCCTCAAGAGCAGAAGAGCAGGCCGCATTCAACTTTTTGCTGCGAAACCAAGGACTCATTTCCTGAGTGGATGGGGAAACAAACACCTCTATTTTTGTGTTTACCCTCATTATTTTTTGGGGGGGAGGAACCTTCAATATGGCTGGGCGTCACAAACTCCATGATTGTTGGACAAGGGGTAAACATCAAAGCTGACTGTGTAACTTGCTGATTCTCAGGGAATCGGCAGGGTTTGGGGTGAAATCCCCTAGGGATTGAATGCTAAATGGGCTTCACTTAAACCCCTTAGGCCCTTGACCTGGTTTGTTCTCACAGGATGTGGTCAAACCTTCACCCAAATCGGAACACGGGTTGCTCCAAAGGCCGATGTTTTGTACAAGGGTAGAACTTTGGCCGGCGAAGGGAAACCTATGCTTTTCCCCCAGAAGCTTTGAAGAGGGGTCCGGGTTGGTCGGCTTTGGACGGCACTCTTTCGGGACTGGCTCATCAACTTTGGACCTTGCGGCTTGGAGAGCTTGCTGGAACGTAAGTTCCATGCGACCAAGCCCCGCATCTTTTCCTTTGTTGTCACAAGGGGCCCAAAGAGGGGACCATCCGAGAACGGCATTCAAAAGGAACTGACTTTCTCTATTGGGATTGGGGAGCCCCGATGAAAGGGGCCTTGACCAACCATAGGATCATCTGTCTGTGGATGGACAAAGTCCACTTCGCACCAGTTGGGATGAAACCCGATGAATACTGGGAATCAACCAGCTGCTGACTGGTGCAGGGTTTGTCTAATCCACAGTAGTTGTAAGAAATTCAGGTTTCGGCTCCTATGAGCTGTGATTCACACAGAACCCCTTCGTCATCATTATATTAGAATTAACAAAGGGGTCTTACAGATATCACTTCGGCATCGTCATCAGGGGCCCATATTCCAGAAGCGCGAATTCTGGGGAAATTCTGGAGATGTGAGCATCACTCTGGGTTCTCCGGTGGAGGGCAAAGTTTCTAGCACCACCTGTAGGCCCAGTACAACACTATCCCAAGATAGGTACCATCTCAAAAACAAGAAGTCCGCCAACGAAACAAAAGAATGTGTTACTCCTGTGGGTTTCCCTGCGGCGGCGCAGGGGGAAAAAAAAGGCGGAGGACTTCGCGCAGACCTTCGCGCGAATCATCGCAAAAGAGCGTCAGCCACGGCGCCGTAGCACGCCTTCATTCGCAATCTGGCGTGTCAACCGCTCGTGAAATTCCATGCCTCTTTTGGAGGGGTGGAAAGCCAACCCACCGGTTTGTTTTCATATGGGCGTGGGTCAAAATTAAACCACCAGGAATCGGACCGCAGGTTTTAGTCCATGTTTCCATTTACTAGGGTCCATTTTGGGTACCTATTTTTGACCCACGGCCACGTGTTTGTTTTCAAAGGGTGGGCGCCCCTGAATTGTTTGTTGGCGGTTCACTTTGGGAGGGGCCAAAACCGCCCCCACATTAATAAACAGGGGTTGATTTTCAGGGGGTCAACATTGCCTGATTCCGTGTTGGCAAAATTATCCTCAGTGGTAATGCAAACAGGGCAACACCAGTCGTTTTTGGAGGGGTACCCAGTTGTTTGTGGGTTCTGAAGAGGAGATCATAAGAAATCCGAAGCCATTTTGGGGGGTCCCCTAAAGAAGATACATCCATATGATGCGGCTGTTATGAGTAAGAATCAGCTGCTACATGAAGCGGATATCTCCAAATGTGTGCCAACTGTGCCAATTCACGCATGGTGAGCAGCACCAGTAAAAAAAAGGCGAATTGTGGCACCCCCGTAGTAATAAGCAGGGTCTGATTCATGGGAGGCGTCCACTGGGAAGCCGAAGCCTGGGGCGCCCCGCTGTTAGGCGCTTGCCCAGCAGGCCCTCCCGCTCCTACGCTCGGACTCGGGGGCGTTCCCTCGCTGGGAGTTGGGACCCCGGGAAAAAACGAGATTTGCCTGGGTAGTGGAAAGCAAAGGGGACCCCAACAAAAAGCAAACAAAACAAAAAGGGGAGCTCATTTTGCGGAAGCCCGAAGGCTCCTTAAGGAACCCTAAGAAACAAGGAAGGGGCTCTCGACTACCACCCCCGCTTGCACCTAATGTTAGGGATTTCCTAAAAGGAGTCTGACGTCGAATGAACATCTTCGGCCTGTCGCCCATCCGTGGGTGGTCCTGCAAAAAATGTCCCTTTCGTCTTCCCATTAACCCCGTACAAGAGAACAAGGGTTCAAAACCCCCCCTCCCTGGCCACCAATCCAAACCTAAAGGGGAACTGATTGCCATGTCTAGGCGCACTGGGGCACACGGAAAGAACACTTGTGTTCAGATGATGTTTCATGTTTGGGTCCACCCACAAGTAGCAAACCTATGGAGGAGGCCCTAAGCTGCTCAAGGCCCTAGTGGGTTCTTTGGAGAGTGGTCAGTGGTTTGGAGGTTAGGGGCGGCTTCCCATATACTGTCCACGGTTTACAACCAAACCACCGATCCAAACGACCAACTCGAGGGGTTTGAACAACGGAATCCTGGTTTAAAGTCCGGGTGACCACACCCCTGGACCCGGACAACTCGCGGAGCCGAAAGCTTTTGGGGGCGAGGCGGCGGTTTCCTCAGAAAGTGATCTACCTAGCGATGACAATTTGTCTGTTGCCAAGACCATCGCGAAAAACATCCGTTTTGCCACCTGCGTTTTGGTGACTCAAAATTGGGAGAATTCCAAAATTGGACAATTGCAAAAACAATGAAAACAGAAATGGTTTGTTGTTCTTTTTGGTCACAAGTGAAAACATCATGGACAGTTGAAGCGCAACCCATATGCTTCCACGTGGAAGGAAGTGAGATTCAGTACAAAGACTTGGCTTACAGGCCTGGTTTCAGTAGATTTGGATGTGTGTTTTTGGGGGAACCCCCGATTTGGTTGGTTCAAAGGGAAACCCAAGGAAAACAACCCAGGAGCCTTTTCCCCTGAGGGTTTCTACACTACTGGGGCACGCTGCTCATTTATTCCACCAGAAGAAAAGCCGTGCCATGAACCATTTTAGGGGCCCGTCATTTTGAGACATGTCGAGCTAGAGCCACCAGGCGGCAATGGCTCCCTATGGAGTGGGCTCTGAATCAGCATATGAATGGCTACGGCATCACATCTTTTGGGCAGATGATGTCCAGTTCCCCTGGCTATGTTGCGACCAAAGACTAGCAACCCAGCGTTAGGAGATGCTGTGCGTCTTTGAATCAATTGCTGAAAGGCCGAGTCCACTCTTGGCGCACCCCGGACCTGATAGAAAGGGACTTGCCCCTTGGGATCCCCCCCCCCCCCGAACAGAAGAAAAAAGGAAAACCCCACTGGAAGCTCCTCCTCTCTCCGGCATCGATGTTTCAATCACCCTGACTCATAGTGACTATGGGTACCCAAACTGCTTTTCAACTAACCCAATCCTCGAGCCATTCCTCGTCAGCGAACGGGTTCGAAGCAACCCCCCCGCCCCCGCCGCTGGGTTTTTTCGTCGAGTCCTCGGATTCCTGGAGCCGTTCTTGGACCTGCGAGAAGCCTCGGTGCGCGTCACGCCCGACATCTGCGAGACAGCCATTCCTATGACGTAGGTCTGAAGGGATTCCCTTCTCACAACTGGGATTCCCTAAAGCCCCACGTCCATGGGAACCCCAAAGCCAACCTACAAAGAAGCACAGGTTGGGTGCCCCTGGTTGGTTTTGTTCTTTGGCTTACCTTTGAAAACCTTGGCAAGTTCAGCCACCAAAGCCCAATTCCAAGATGAATTTTGGACACTCCACCCATGAATTCCCCCCCAGCAAAACAAATGCTCAAAGAGTGCGGAAACGATTTTGCAGAGTGGTCCTTCAGACCACCGTAAAATGACATCCTGCAAATGTCGGGGAGGGCCCCAACCCCCCAAAGCACTCCCCCCCTAAAAAAAAAAAAAAAAACTACTTTAAAAAAATAATAAAAATCGGCCCCAGGGACGGTTTACGCGTTCCGAAGGCCCCCGCCCCTTCCGCCCCTTCCGCCCCTTCCGCCCCTTCCGCCCCTTCCGCCCCTTCCGCCCCTTCCGCCCCTTCCGCCTTCGACTCGCCTTCGACCCGTCTGGGCTCCCGGGCGCTGGTCCATGGCGCTGAGCTGGCCCCGCAGGCCGTTCAGCTCCCGCTGCAGCATGCCCTCCTGGGACCTGAGATTTTACTCACGGCAGAGCTCGCTTAGCTCGGGGAGCTCGGCGGCGGAGCAAAAATATGCGAGAAATCTGCGAAGAGTGGCGCGAACTTTTCGGGTGGTTTCTTAATACGGAAAAGGCTTAGACTCACGGTTTTGCTGAGTTCATGAACTTTAAACACTTTTTGGGCTTGGACTATTTGAGCGGTAAATATCAAGTTTGGGTACTTTGTTCGGGCCATCCGCTCAGGAAGTGAGTAGTGCTTTCTGCTCCCCTGCTGAAAGGGACTAACTTTTAGTTAACGGAAACCCCATTAGTTGGCAAAAAGTTAAAGTCCTAACATCCAAGCAACATGCACCAAAGTTAGAGTCGTGTGGAGCGACATGGTGCCGTTTTCTTTTCCCAGAAAAAACATCCCAAAAACCCAACAACAAACCCAGAAAGGGTCCAAAACCCAACAGCAATGCAATCAAAGGGGAAGGACATGATCAAGGATTGAGTCATGGGGTGTCCCTTGAACGTTGTCCTGACCTGAGGATTTGATGCAACCGGGCGTCCCTTAAGTCTCCCTTGGCTTGAATTGACTCATGGCCATAAATTTCAAAAGTCGGGACTGCCTCACGTCCATCGAGGGCGCAAACTTTAAACACTGTTTGGCAACTTTAATTATCATTTTCCCAGACCTGCAGTGGTTACTGTTTCTCCGGTTGTTGCTCTCTTCTTTTTGACGGGGTTTTCCTTGAAAATCAACTAGCCAAAGGAGAGAGTGCCTTTTTCCCCATAGCCACTGGGGGTCTGGGTGTTGAGTCAAGCCCAAAAGATGTCGTCACCTTTTCCCAATCAGCTCGGCAAAAACAGAAGATACCCCCACTGGCAAGCTCCCATAGATCGCCTTCTGCAAACCCAATTTGAGGCTAAGGTTCTTTTCAATTCTCGGTTTCCCTTTCAAGGGACCCGTCTGATTTCTGGGGTATCAACCCAACCAAAGGACGCCGGGGGTGGAACCAACTCGACAAAAGGGCACCAATCCTTGACGCCCTTTTGCTCATCCATTTAAGTGCCTAAACACTCAGAATGGGGCTGTGGTGTGTGTAACTTCAAGCCAGTCTTATGATTCCAGGGACACCATGTTAGTCCTCTTTGCAGGGATTCCCACTTCAAAAAGGTGATTCTTGAGGGGACGTCCTGGGAAACCCCAAAGTAAGGTCCCAGGAAGGTGAGGAACTAAAAATGGGCACCAACAAGCTGCCAGAATTCGCAAACTGAAAATATAAAGTGAAGAACCCAGTAAAGTACGATACTCCCCTAAGTACCATAATAGCATCAATTCACAAGTCATTCAATCTACTGCCATCCCCAAGTGAAAAACAACCCAAATTCATGGGCTAAATCGATGACGTCCAATCTTTTTGGTGGGCAAAAGTTTCCTTTTGCCCAAAGGAGAGGTTGCAGGGGCTCAGCTGAGTGGGGCAACTGCAAATAAATACGGTTCCTATATTTTCCCTTTAAACATATCACCCCTACAAGTACCGAGGGGAAAGTTAGTCGAGTCTGGCAATGTTGCGGATGCCGCGTCTGGGTTCAAATGCTGTAGGCCAAACCTCCGAACACACAAAATGGGGAACGGCCGGTGTCCTCTTGTTTCCTCTCTTGAACTATCAGAAGGGGTTCCCTATTTTGGATAGTTCAAAACAACTGGATAGTTCAAGAGAAAAAGCAAAAAGAAACCAGGCGTTTGCGCGGGGGGGGGGGGAGATGGCAAGCCCCAAAGCGCGCAAAAAATTCTGACCAGCCGCCCCAGCAGATCGCGAATGGCGTGCAAAGCCTCGATCAGAATCTGTGGGAGGGTCTGACTTGTTCCCTGAGATCCCTGCTCAGACCTTCTCACCACTCAAGTGATCGTCCCAAAACGAGAAGAAAAGTCAAGGAACTGGGAAGCGAGCTGTGTGTTGTGACAACCATTCCTGGAGTTTGACTAGCTTCTGAAAATATGGATGCTTTTGGGAGAGAAGGGAACCTCCCTGATTGGTCAACGGCAAAGGGAAGGTATCCAACCAAGCTCAAAACCCGCTGACTTGTGGTTCCGTTCTACCGAAGTGGTGTCTAGAGGAAAGAAGCGTCTAACATGGTTTCCACCCCAAACCTGAGATATACACCCACTAGCCACTCCACAAAGCGTATACCCCAATGTACCCTGAGAGGAGTGGATCGGGGGGAGTGGAAACCCTCTTATACGAGAAGGAACACAAAGGATTGGGCCGAAGGCCACCGTCCCTTTAAACTCCCTATAAACCCACCAAACAAAAACCCTCCTACTCCAACTACCCATGTCTTAAAAGTATATTTGGAAAAGCCTGGTGTTCCCAAACACCTCTGCTCTTGTCTCCTTACGGGTATAGTGAACCCAACCAGTGGCCTTTCTTTTCGGCGCCCCTTCCAGCCTGAAAGGGCGACGATAGGTTCTACCCTCATTGGAGGTCCATGACTCAACCCGAAGGCGCCCATTTCTTTCTAGAAGGGGTGCAATTTTCATGTTAAAATCACATCCCCACCAACACCCGGTCTCTTTTGTGGCGTGGGGTTTAAAGGGAAACCAAAAGGGGAAGAAAAAACACGATTTGAGGGGTTCCACTGTCAATGGGAAATGGCTCGTCTTAACCCAAGCAACGCAGGTGGTTGAACATGACAACCGTACAACCATCCTTCTGGGTATCTTCATTGCGGAGCTGTTGCTTTCCATGTCGGGACTAGGATTTCCACCACAGTATTCGGAATGAAAACTTCCTTGGGGACAAAATCCTTGAATTTGCAGTTCGTGCAAATGATCCTGCGCGTGCCTGCCGGAAGTTGTCTGTCTACATGGTGAGTGCGCACGAAGCGCTGGTTCTCGAGATTCGTCCAGCTTTTAACATCGGTGACATCGCACCTGGCCAGCGAGATGTCGTCCAAGACCACGCTCTCCCCGCGTCTCCACTTCAGGTTCTTCACTGTGTCTAGGGATTCAACGAAGAAACACGCACCGCTGAGTATGGCGCAGGCCAGCTGCGTTTTTCCAAGACCCCCTGGTCCTTGCAGAATCAGGGTCCTCTCCTTGGACTCCTTCTGAAGCCAGTGCATGCAAGCCTCCGGTGAGCAACATTTCTGGCGCAGTGAATGCCCAATTCATTTGGCATCCAAAGGGATTGTCTGCAAAGGAGCTATGCAAAGGTTGCATTTCGGTAGGCTTGCCCCGTACAAAGCCTGAGATCTTCCCGGAAGATTCTCGTCGGTCCCCCAAGACAGAGTAAAATTCCCTGAAAATTGTCCGCATGGACCTGATGGACCAAATGAGGAAGATGAGTCAAGTTGGGTATGTCTCTGTTTGGGTCCCCCCCCTCCCTTGTTGGTGGTTTAAAAAAAAAAAAAAGGAACCACGAAAGACAGACCCATTTAGGATGAGCTTCTCACCTGAACCCCCTGAAAAAGGGACAACCACCTGCAAAAGCACAACATAAAGAATCCAAAACCCCGTGAAGTTAGTCATCTCCTTGTGGGGGACCCGGTTTTTGTTGGTTCCATGCCAACTTGCAGTGGGAATTTAAAGGAGAACTCAATGCGCAATTTCAGGGGAGTACCTTTTACTTGGTGAACATGAAAGTTCGAGAGACCCCCGCGAAAGCGAGAGGCTCTCCTCAATGCAACCAGAGAAAGCCCGGGAAACTTCGTGAAGCAAGAGCAGATTCAGGTGTACAGGTTGGAGGTCGCTTCAAGAAACTAATTGACAGGCAGTCCAAGAGTGCCCAATGGGTGGGCTGGCTTATCATGCTGCCTTGCGCTGACTTCTAATTCTAGGGTTTGGGTGGCAGACCTGTGACTTTTGGGGCGCCGGCTGTTCTCATATTGGTGCCACCTTCCTTTTGGTTGTCCTCTTTAAGGGCAACCCCTCCCCCACCAAAAAAAAAAGAGCAGAAAAGACATGCCCGAAAAAGGTCGTAAAGTCCACGAACTGAGGGACGTCTTCGCCTCTAAGTCCTGACCACCGCCGGAGAAAAAAAAAATGCGAGATGTTTTTTCTCTCTAAGTCCGCTGGCTTGTGCGGTCGGCGCCTGGGCGTGCGTCTCTCTGGCTACAGGTTGCTTGCCCCCGGATGGCTTGCACACATGGCTCTGGCGCCCCGGTGCCCCTTTGTGAAGACCCAGAAAGCCTTCTAAAAAGACAACAGCGGGGATTTGTAACCATCCCCAAGAAGGCACCTTAGGTTTTGACCCACAACCATGTGAGTATATATAGAGGAAAAGTAGCTAGATATTGAATTGTCTGGACGAGTTTTGCATTTGGCTTATATTGTTGTCTAGATTCCGTCTGCCCTAACATATCACATAGCTGTAGAGGAGACCTCAAGTTGGCCTCGTTGGTGGCCTCCCAACAAGCACATGCTTGTAACACACACACACACACCTTCGTAAGGTATCCAAGAAACGGTGGCGAAGTAGCTGTGGCTGTTGCAAAAGGAAAGCGGTCTTGGGCACAGGTTGAGTTGAGCTTGTTGACTTCTCCTCGCGCAAATCAAGAGCTCGGATTTGATATCCACGAGTGGGGGGGGAGCCGATCGCACCTTCTGCTAAGTTCGAGGTGATTCGTCCCATCCGAACATCGCGTTGGTTTGGTTGACCCACAAGGGCCACTGAGTGGCTCGAAGAGACTTCCCTCCCAAAGCCGGCTATGCTTGGGGTTTGCCACAGGAGGAGAGAGGAAGAGGAGGGGCTTTGGGGGTCCCCCGTCTTTCTCTACTGCAATCATGTTTTTTTCCTACCCTGCCCTGTTGCCCCAAACAAGCACATCTTGCTCAACTGATCATGATGTGGCTGCTGAAAAATCACTCCGGTTCAGTCGCGCACGAGGAACCCCCTAAGATCGATGCCCTTCCTTACAACTCAAAGCAAGACCATCTCTGACCGGCACCGTCCTCCGGAGAAAATCCGAATTCAACCTACGGCCGCGAACAAACTGAAGTTTCGCGGGGGAAATCGGACAGGAGCGAACGCTCGCAGCTTCGACCAAACCTCCCCACGGCCCGCCGGCCCGTTTCCCCTTTCCGCGGCCCCCGCCCCGGGGCTGGCGTCTCCGTCCGACAGAGTCCGCGAGGCCGCGAGGAGTCCTGAGTCCGGAAGCCGGGCTTCGGAAGCCAAGCCTGGCACGGGGGTTCCTTTCGGGCTAAGGTGAAGATCACTACCCCCAAACCACCAGCCCCAGAGAAAATGATGTATAGCCTGTGCGAGCTAGTGGCTGAAACCAAATCTTTGGACTAGGTGTCTTGCAAATCTGCAGAGCTCAATTAAATGGGGGAGGGGGGATCTCACTCTGATGCAAGAAGCCCAGTGGGGGCAAGCTGGAAGCCAGGAGATGCACAAGTGTCCCTAGATGTCTTGATTTTGCGCGAGAGAGCCAGAACTCTGCCTCCAACAGGAGTCTGGTCGTGGAGCCCCACGGCAATCAAGGACTCTGGGAAACCGGGCAGCTGCAAGATGCAGGTGTGCACCCCTTCACCAATCGAAACCTCATCTTTCCCTTGAACCGCAGTTGTCTGAGGGTAGTGGAAACCCTCCTCGGTCTGATGCGCAGAACTTGGATCCAGAACGAACGCCGGTGTGCTTTTTGGTTTCCTTTCGCTTCCCGAGATAGCTTGGATTGCAAGTTAGCACCAGTGTTATTTTGGCTTCCTTGGAAAGAGGCTTTCACTGCACCCAAACCAGCCAGCGTTTCCCTTAGGGGTAGTAGACATCCGCTTGGATTGCCTGAAAATGACGATATGATTTGGACCGCGAAATTAAATAGGTGGTATCCCTTTAAAGCGTTTGGGTGTTACTTTTGGTTTCGCCGAAACTGTCTCCAAGAGGATGTTTAAGACGCCCAAATCGCTGTATTACCCGATAGCGCGTATATAGTCGTTGGATACCCCATGCTCCAGGCTGCTGGTTTGGAGGTAGCGGTTTCGCTGGATTCAACCGCAAGCTCCTGAAAGAAGGAGCAACACCTGTTTTCCTCAAAACGGCCATAGTTCAAACCCAAGTAAGCTACCTTCAAAAGCTTGCCAAATTATTACAAATGAGATATAGACTCTAGTCTCTGATTTGGCTAGCCTCAAAAGGTACTCCCCTAAAATTGGTGACTTCCATTTGGTTGCCCATTGAAGCAACCCTAAAAAAAGGGGCCATTCAGTGAACCTGAAATTACAAAAATGATGAAGTACTCACTGAAACTTTGCATGAATCCAAAGTTGAAACTTCCATGGCAACCAAAACGGGCTCCAGGAGGGCCCGTGCCTCGCTTTGGGAATCCTGCACCAAGTTGCAACTTGCAACCTCATTCTTTGGCTGGCCAAGTCTGCGCAAAAAGAAACTTGACAATCTTTGTGCTTTTTGGTTCGCAATTCGGATGTTTTCGCAGATTTGAGTATAATTCCCCCCCCCCCTCAAGTTGCCCCCTCCCCCCCCCCCCAAAGTTGCTGCTCTCCTTTTTGGTGTCCCTTGCTCTTGAAAAGACCTCCCAACCCCCAACCCGTTTTCGTTTGGTGTCCCTCGAAAAAAAACCTCCCAAAAGGGATTGCCCCCCCCCCCCTCCCCTTGCGCCGCCGAGTTGCTGTCCCCTTTGCCGGTCCTCAGATCGGAAGTTTGTCGCGCCGGCCGAGACATCCGGAAAACCAGCCGAAAAACCCTCGAAATGGCGGAATCGTCCTTCGAGTTTCAATGAAAACACACACACACACAAACAAAAACAAAAAAACGGGGTTCCCTAAAAGATGACGAGCCACCCACCTATTTTTGGAAGGGGGATCATCCAAATCAGCCGAGGTGACTTCTGAATTGGCCCAAATGGATCACAGGAAAAACCGTTTCAGGACCAACAAAAGTCAAACAACTCAAACACATTCCCCTTACAGTGAAGCTGTATGTGTTACCTTTGCACTGTGGGGGCGGGGGGGGGTTTAGATTCCCGCTTGAGCCACAAGCGGGGAAACCTGAGGAGAAAGGGGCCTGCCCGAAGCCCATGGCAACCAAATATCATTAGGGCTTTCCTCTACTTAAGGAGGCAGGCCACCTTTCTAAGCTAAGTATCCGTCTTCAGGTAACATTCATCTAGGCATTTGCTGTGGCTGACCTTTGGCTTTGGAGCTTCGACTTTCAGGAGTCTCCAAACCCCATGCATTTTACCATGGCAAGCGACTGGCTCTGGCTTCGAGCCTCCGAAACGGTCTCAAAATCACCCCGCACCCCACAACTTCGAGGCACTCTGGTTCATGGGACATGGGATGAGGGCCCTAGGTTAAATCGATGAAGAAGCCTGGAAACCGAACAGGTAAGTTAGTCAGTCTCCTGGTTGTGCTTGAAACTTAGTGAACTCTTCCCGTGGACTGTACATTTTGATGGAATCTCATTTGATGGACTTGTCTCCTTATTTCAGCAACCCCATAACGAGCTTCGGTTGATCTTTGGTTTCCTTTTCTAACCCCAAACGGAGTCACCAACTCCAAGAAGGAACGCTTTCTCACTGCACGGTCCCCCGCAAAGTCCCCATGATAATCAGTGGCCAAAACCCCTGTCATATGGCCGACTGAATCGGTCCTGGAATCATTTGCTTAAGGATCCTTACCAGGTGGCTCACCATCCCGGTCTTTTGACCCATGGCACACATGAATATGGGTGTGGCTCAAAATGGAACCCTAGCAAATGGTAAATCTGCTGGCGCTTAAATTTGAGCCACCAGTTTGAGCGCCTCTCCCCGCCGCGGGGACCTTGGCCACCTGCTCATGTTTCGACCCCATTAGCCTTCCGGGCGCTCAGACCACGTTCAGAAGCTAGATGGGGGATGTTCAGAAGGAATCCCCCCTACGAGTGAATTCCTCACTAGATGGGGGAGTCCCCGCCATTTGGGTGGCCCCCAGGTGCTGGTCGATTTTTAATTGTTGGTTTGCCCCCGAAGCCATCCAAACGGGTTCCACCAGATGGAAACCAACCTGCGTGGCTGGTTTTCTTTAGGAATCGAACCGGGACCCAAAACCGGCGGTCCGGCGTCCTTTGGGTTTCCCTTCGAAGCGCCAAAAAGGGTACCAACGCAAAGCCAAAGAGACATAGATGCTTGGTTGGTGATGGTCCCCCGAGCTTCAGTTGAGATCATTCAGGTGGTCCTGGTGACAGACCCAGCTCAAGTTTGGTCACCTCTAGAAGGGCTTGGGGCACCTGAAAGCCACCCCCTGACGCAAAAATATTGCAAACAAAACATGAGAGAACCTCAGAGTCTGGTCTATATGGGGGGGGAGGTTCTCAAATTGTCAAACTTCGGGACCCCCTTTTTGGAAGGTGCTCTTCTGGGACACCAACAAAACAAACCGCCGACCTGGAGGGGATTGAGAGGCACCCATATGATTTCTTGATTTCAGTCCCGGACCCTTTGGGCATCATTTTCTGGTTGGGCCCCGGACCGCCTGCTGTCCAACCACTGAGGGTGGTTTTCCCCATGAAAGATTTTCCTAGATCCATGGCCTTATATTATGTTTCTCCGCTTCTTTGCAGTCGTGACCCCAGTCGTAAACCCCAGTCCTGACCCCCGGGTTTCGGCCCAGAACCCCAAAACCCCGCGCGAGCGGAGCAAAGTCACAATTCAACCACACCAGGGACCGCAGGTTTGGGTCCACGGTTCTATTTACCAGGGCTCCATTTGGGGTACCCAGTTTTGGACCCACATCCACATGCTTCTTTCCAGTCGTAAACCCCCAGAGCCCCGACCCCCGGACGGGACGGCCCTCCCACCGCCGAGCGGAGCCGAGGGGCTCCGTGGCCTTCTTGAGCATCAGCTTCGCCACGTCGTAGCCTCGCGAAAGGGAGCCGCTCGAGTCGACGCTGGGGCCGAGTCGACACGCCGAGAAACCGCCTGCGAAAAGGTCCGCTGGAGAGAAAAGCAAAAGAAGGAAAAAATGAAGATGTGTCCACTAGTGATAGATTCCATTTGAAACCAACAGGGAAAAGAAACAAAAATTCTGAGGAGCATGGAAGTAAACCAGCCTAAACGAAGCCCCAACCGTGACCCGAAACCAACTGCAAACCAACCCGAAACCCTGACAACTCCCGACGCAAAGGCGCGGACTCAACCACTGCAATCGCATCTTGATCCCAGGCTTGAACCTTTGGCTTTGGCTTTGAAGGAGAAAGATCATGTGCTGATCCAGCCAAGCTGGAGCAAGCTTTCTCATTCTCCTCTTGGCCAGAGATGATGTATGCACCATAGTACTGTGTCTTTGCCTAGGTCCTCCAGTAGAGAGGTTAGAAAAAGGGTACCCTTGTTTCTGTTGTCTATTTTAGTAGGGGAACCTCTCCCAAACAAGGGAAAAAGGGCATTACTGGGGGATCTAGTTGCCCTTTGCGGAGGTTATTCATGATTCAGCAAATGGGAGGGTGAGTCCCCCTGGACGGGTTCTTCCTACTGTGGATGGTTGCGAAATCATGCACCACCTACGAAACCCTGGAATGATTCGATTCCCGTGTAAATACCAACAAACGTTCTGGTTTCAACCATGGCTTCATTTCGTGGTGCGGAATGGATCTTGTCCATCCACAGTATGATGTGGGTGGGTCAAAATTATAAACCACCAGGGGGACCCCAGGTTTTAGTCCTGGGTTCCATGTACCAGGGTTCCATTTTGGGTACCCATTTTTGACCCACACCCATATTCCCATGCAACAAAATCCATAGCCAAACACCCCAAACATGCAACCGGCCGAGGCTCCCAGAAGCCCTTTTTGATCTTTTTCCCCACCAAGCCGTGGACTGCAACAAAAGATGCACTGCTCCAAGGAAAAATGACTAGGTCCTCCAGTAGAGAGGTTAAAAGGTACCCTTGTTTCTGCAGTCTATTTTAGTAGGGGACCCAAAAGAAGGGGCAAAAGGGCACTACTGGGGGACCTAGCTGAGTCTCCATTATGTTGACCTGAGGTTTTTTTGGGTCGCTGTCTGGAAAGACCCGAAAGAATGGCGGCTGGAAGCCACTGCTAGAAGTGTCATGGTAAGCCACCCACCACCCGTTGAACCCCAAAAGGGCAAACTACTATCATTCCCAACCCGCAAATAAGGCAACCCGAGTAAGAACCTCCATCATGGGTGATCTCATTTTAAGCCCCGAATCGGTGAGCTCGCAACAATTTGCCCAGGAAGTTAGCCTCAGTTCCTAAGTGGATTGGCCACACTGTTTGTTTACCACAAACATGATATTCCCAAAAAGTGCAACCAGAAACACATGGAGTAAGCTCAATGGTGTCCTCTTTTGAAGGAAGCGTATTGGGACAGTTTTGAAGGGGACGGTTTTGAAGGAAGCGATACGGCCTATCCAAAATATGGCCCGATGTGAGATTCTTCAAGAACCCCCAGAACCTAATGTGGCTCAGTACACAAATTTCTCTCCAAAAAAAGGACATCCCCCCCCCAAAAAAAAAGAAGAAGAAGAAAAACGAATAAAAAAAAAGAAAAAGAAAAAGAAAAAAACAACAAAAAAAAACTGAGAGAACTCGTGGTTTCCTTTTGGCCTCGCCTTTGGACCCAGAGACATAGCGCACCCCCCACCAAAAAACGCGCCCCGCGGCCCAATCCTCCGGCAATCCAATTTCCGGCCCCGCGGGCGGCCCCTCGGCCCCTCGGCCCCTCGGCCCCCGGCCGCTGTCGCGGAACTCCTGGAACTCGTCGGCCCAGTTTCTGCGCGCCTGGCCGGGGCCCAGGACCCGAGAAGACCTTCGAAATAATTTTCAGGCTGGAATTGCCGCTTTAACCCTTTTTTGGGGGGGTGGGGGGGTGCCCAAATGTTTGAGGGGCCTGAAAACATGGGGGTCCTTACCCGAAATAGAAGGGGAAAAATGACGGTCATGGCCCCTTTTCTGAGACTCCAGGTAGAACTGAGAGCGGGGAGGGGGGGGTATCTGGGCGGGCAGGGGGGGGTGTCTCTCCTCTCAGTTTACCACAGGACCCAGAATTCTGGTCAACCTTTTGGAACCTTGACGAAATATGGACCAAATCAGGGAAACCCAAAGATCAAAAAGTCGGCTCGAGGCAAGTGAGTCCTCTCCATTAACATGGAACTCGTCGGCCCAGTTTCTGCGCGCCTGGGCGAAGGGGAAAAAAAAACATGAAGTGCCTGGGGTCTCCGGTGACCCAATTAAAGCAACAAAAAACACTTGGGGTCAGTGCCCAAAATATAGGGGTCATGACCCCATTTTTGAGACTCCAGGTAGAACTGCGGGGGGGGGGGGGTATCTGGGGCAGTAACCCTCTCAGTTGACCAAAGGACCCAGAGTTCTGGTGATTTTTTTCTGTTACCCAACATAAAGGGGTCATGACCCCATGTTTTGAATGGTCATGGGAGGGGGGGGGATACTTTTTGGGAGGGAATTTAGCCTTTATGTACAGGTTATACAGTGGTTATATACCCAATGATCAAACCGGGGATAGGAAAACCATCTTTCTAAGAAACCAGCAGGACATTCTGCAGGTTCTGGTGGCTATTTCCGGTGGTTTGTGTTTAGAGCTGGTTTCTATGATAGTTTTTATCATGTTGAGGGGTTGGTTCAGGGTTTGGTTCAGGGGTCCTCTCTCACTATTGTTGGACTCAAAAGCAGGGGTCCTCGCAAGAATTTGAATGGGACACAACCTCGCACAAATGCCCATGAAAGTGCTGTCCAAGGGTCCCCAGTTACGTAGGATTCATACCCATATTTCCCTTTTAACATCCAAGGAGTCCCATGTAAAGATCACCCCGCTTGAGCTGGCCCCACTATCAGATGCACGTTCTGTTGTGTGCATCACGGTTCATCAGCTCAATGGAATCGCCTGGAGTATATTTCCTGCGTGCCATCCCCTTCTTCCCTCTCTTTTGAAGCGAAACCGAACAAACATACTGTGGCTGTGGGTCAAGATTAGACTACCAGGGGACCACTGGTGTCGCTCCATGTTTCTATTTACCAGGGTTCCCCATTTTGGGTACCCATTTTTGACCCACAGCCATGTAAACAAGGAGACTCGCGCCCCTTCTTCGCCACCAAACCGTTTGGTGCCACTCCACAACCCCTCCACCCACAGCTCCCCCCCCCCTGCCCCCCCCCTGCCCCCGTCCACCCACTGAGCGCCCCGGGCGACCGTCTTTGCCCGGGCGGAGCTGGGCGTTAAGGATGCCGCCGCGAAGGCGTAGGCAGCCAGCCCCAGCCCTTGGGCTCGTTCGTTCAGTCGTTGGACGTGTCTGTGTCTGTGCGCGTGCGTGTTTTGGGGTGCCCTTGTCACCTTGGTTTGAAGGAAAGACGAAAAAAAACAATTGCCAAAGTCCTCAATTAGTACCACGCGACAAAAATCCACCACATGGCTTTGGGTCAAAACAACTCGTGCAAATGGCTTGCCCTGGTAAATAAAAAAGGACGAAAACCTGCGGTCCCCTGGTGGTGTTATTATGACCCATTTGTTTGGGGAGGGTGTCCTTTTTCAATTTGATTTGAAGGAAAGAGAAAAAGGAGAAATTCCAAAGTCCTCAATCACCACATTAGCCGAAGCTGGGTCTTGGAGGGTGCTTCTGGATGGCCAAGCGGAGGGGGGGGGGGTCTGGAAAACATGGCATCATCCGGGAGAACTTAAAAACATGGACCATGGTTGTGGAAAGTAACCCTTTCTGTGATGCAGTGGAGCTTTCTTATGCGACCTCAAAGGAAAGCTTCTTGGTATATGAAGTGGGCGTAACCCCCATGAATGCGGTTTGTGGACAAAGTTATTCTGACTGAACGTTTCGCCTGCTTGAGACTTGACAACCCCCTGTTTTGGAGGAAAAGCCCAGTTCAGTTGAGTGTGTGTGTGTGTGTGCCAGCAAGCCACTTAAACAAGGGGGAAGAGGAGCAGGGTTCCTCATAATGTCCTCAAAAAGCACACCACCAAAAGAAACCATATGTGAAAATTCGCAACGAGGTATTGTGTCCATCACCCAAAACGGATATCAACTCTGCACAGCACCATGGTGCCCATACCAATCATAGGTGACCTTTTGGAAAAAAAACATCACTTCCCCTGGCAACTGGGGCAAAACACCAACCCAAACCAGTGGCTCGCCCATCTATTTCTAGCCAAACTGAACCTAAAAAGGACACCTATGACTACAATGCACAAACCAAAGTTATGCAATCTCCCAAGCTACGGGATTTGCGTCAGGGGATAGGGATTCCCCCACACACACCGCAAGCTCAAGCCGGACTCACCCTTGACGCCCTATGGACTCCGGTCGAGCAGCAGCACGCCAGCAGGCAGAGGACACCCAAGCGTCGGCCTGGCGAAGACCGTCGACCCACCGAGCGCGAGGGGAGCTCAGAGGCTTCGGGGCCACCGGTTTGTTCTCAGCGAGATGAAAACCTCACAGGACCAAACACCGCCATTGCGTACCGTTCAGGGCCCTTGCCATTCTTTTCATGGGGGTTGAACCCTAGGACTCACTTACCCAAAGGACCTGGAAAAAGGTGAACCTTCTGGGGCTATGGCTAAAAATGGACCAAACACAGGACACCAAAAGGTCCAAGGGTCGGAGTTGTTCAACTGAGTTCAAGCTTCTACATGGCTTAGGGAGAAACGGAGTTCCCTAGACTTCCCCTTTAAACATCACCCAGCCAAAAGGACAATTGTCAACCAAAAGGCGATGTTTACAACCCAACAAGAAGCCTGGTCGAATCCTGGGTTCCCTTTGATCTCCAAACCCCGAAATCAGAGATTCCCAATCGAAAAAGGCCTACATCTCGGTCGCCACATGGGCAGATTGGTGGTCTTAAATGGCACCACCAGAGCCAGCCACACATGTCTTTCTCAAAAGCTGCTAGGTCCCCCTTCCCCCCCTGCCCCTCCGAGTCCCGCGCAACCCCCCCCCCCTCTCAAATGGCGCAAGCCTCTAAACCTCGCCATGCTCCTACCCGCAGCCATCGCCACCGTTTCTCTCCGGCGCGAAATCGAAAAGAGAGCAACCCCACTGCGCGTTTTCTGCCCGGCTCCCTACCGGAAAAACCGTGATACCAAAGAGAAAACTGCAGATGTGCTTGTCTACGGCTTGTTTCTGGTCTGGGAAAACCCGTGACTTCCGTTGGCTGACAATCGCTTTTTGCTGTTCGACCCAGCGGATCCATCCTCCTACCTCGCTCTCGAGCCGGAAGGCTGTTCAAGAGCATGGCGCAGCCAGAGATGAAGTGCTGCAAGGGTGGGGGCGATTGGTTTATGTCCCAAAAAAAGGGGGGTCCAAAATGGTGGGAGTCGTCAGTGGACCAGTGGACAATGGTAGCACTGTTGGGACACCGAGACATTCACGAAGCCACTTGGAAGCCAACTTCATGAAAGGCCGGTGTGATGCAAAAGAAATCGTGCGCTGCTTGCCGACCATTCGGGTAACATGTTGGGCCTTCCAGAGCAGCGCCTTACGATTTGAGTCATGATCCAAACCTCTCTCTTGGAGTCGACTCGAAAGCTCACCTGGCCAAAGTTGCTGACGCGACAGGGTTGAACCAAGCCCTTGTTTCAACATGCTGAAGCCGCTGATGTAAGAGCCTAAATAATCAGAATGAGAAAATGTAGTCATGATGAAAAGGGGTGAATAATAAACAACTATTCAGCCCCTGCCTTTCTTGCAGAAACAACCAAGCCCTCGTTTCAACATGCTTGAACCACTGCTCAAACCACCTCCCAGAAACTCTGCCAGGGCCGGTTACAAGTTCTGCCAAGCCCTCGCGACCCTCACTTGGCAAGCTTGCAGCTCCACCAGAAGACAGGATTGAAACACCGGCGGTATTTCGTTGCGGCAAACAAACATGGTGCAAAGAACCCACACCCAAAGGCCTCTTTCCATAACCGAGACCTCTTCTGACATCTCACAGTTTGAGGTTCACCAAATGGACCAGAATTTAAACATGTCACTCCTGCCTTTTCACACAGAACCCTGTCTTGAGGAGCTTCCCCAAAGGAGCTTCCTCTATACATGGATCCGGAATGTTGGGTCATGTGGACAAAGGCAGAGTTCGGGGTTGGGGCCCCCTCCAACTTGGTGGACATCGTGGTCAGGAGTCATGTCCACCAACGGCTTGTGCGGTGGTGTTTCTACGATTCGCCAATTCCCCAAGCCCCAACCACCCCTCCCCCAAACCTCCCCACCCCACCGCACCACCGCACCACCGCACCACCGCACCACCGCACCACCGCACCACCGCACCACCGCACCACCGCACCACCGCCCCAACCCCCCCCCATCCCCATCCCCCCCCCAGACCTCCCCCCCAAGTGCCCCGACGGCTCGGCCGCCAGCTCGGCGGCCGCCAGGGCGGCGGCGAACTGAGCGTCCAACCCGACCCCAAAAACCCCGAGCGCGCGTGCGCGCGGCCGCTTTTGGGGAGACCCAAACAAAAAGGCATGAGAAAGACCCAGGTTCTGGAACGCCTCAGCTTTAGCATGGGGAGACAACCAAGAAAGGATAAAAAGACAAGAACTGGCTCTGAGAAACTTCAGAAAGGGGCTAGAAGGCTTTTTTTGGCAGACAGCCTGTCTGACAGGAGGCGGAACTCCTTTAAGCCCCGCCCAAAGCAGCGCCGTAAACAGGACACCGCCCAATTCAGCCCATGAGATCCGATGTTTTCTGGCAGCTCGCTCACGGGCGCTGCCGAGAAATGAAATGGGCTGATTGGATCATCTGTGAACCCATGGGCCATTTGGCCCCTTTTGACTGGCTTTCCCATTTGGCCCAAATTTTGGCCGGCCCAAAAATTTTGACTGGCTTTCCCATGGATAGTCGACCGGCCCCTTTTGACTTGCTTTGCAGAATTAAGCCACGATTTTGGTTGATGGACCCATAAACCGATCATGTACGAACCCACCATTTGGATTTGCCCCTTTGGCTGGCTTTCCTGGAGCCACATTTCTGGTTGAACCAATAAACTCCACGCACATGCCAGGGGCTCGGAATGCGGGACACCACGCTTGCTCATGCCCAGTAAAGCAAGCATCGAACACCAAAGTTATGTAAGATTTTACATAAACATGTTTATCATGGTGAGCTCGTTGTACCCCCGAATCGATGAGCTCACTATACAGTAGGCAGAAGTCATTCTCATGTGCACACAGGCCTGTCTCATGATGAGGATCTTAGAATGGTGTCCACTACCCCCAAGCTACTGCCCCCGGGGGGAGGGGGGGGGGGGTTCATGGGCCAAAACAGCCACAATATAATTTGTTAGTCATCCCGTTTTGCGCTGGTGGCGGTGATTTGGGGTAGTGGCAGCATCATGAAGAGGACACTCTCTTGAGTCCTTGCTACATGTTTTATACCCTCTTTGCCATGTTGCAATTCCACCTGACCTTTTGGGTCCCCAAGGGAAATGGGTTCTTTCAGGAACCCTCCTCATGCTACGATCTTGTCCGTGTCTTGTTTTCATGTGAAAGAAGTGAATTAAGGCCATGCAAGTGTAAAGGACCCTCAGGGAAGCTGAAAGTAAGAGAACCCCTCAAACTCGGCAGCTACAAGCCTGGTTCCGTAGGCTTCCCTAAAACTCCTTGGGGGTCCTTCGGGTTTGTGGATGGAAGAAATGCATTTCGCGCCACCTAAAAAAAACCCGGGTGTTTGATTCGATTCCCCTGCAACTACCAATGCACAATCGTTTCCACCATGGTTTCAAAGAGGTGCGAGCTGGATTTTGTCCATCCACAGCATGACATTCCCATGGGAGGAATCAATCGTCCCCATCAAACAAAATCCAAATCCAAACACCCCCAACATGCAACCTAAAATTGCTTGGTCCTTGGGCTTCCCTAGGATTTTAGGGAGCCTTGCGGAACCCCTTGGGCCATTAGAATCCAGGGTTTGGTCTGACTATCATCACTTCCATTTGCTTGAGCCCCTGGAAACAATGAGCAAATATTTCCAGTATATAGTGACAGATTCCATTCATAACCAACAAGGGAAAATAAAACATAAACATATTCATTCCCCCCGCCCCCGGAGACGTCACGCCGATGGCGCAGCCCCGCCATGCGCCTTGCGCGGGGAGTTGCTCTGGGCTGCCGCCTGCGCCAAGAGCTCCGCGGCGGCCTGTGAGAAGAGGACGAGACGTCCCATGGCAACCAGAAATCACCCCGTCGCACCATGTTGTTGTTGCTTTTTTTGGGGGGGGGAACTTTGGGGAAACCTTTGGGACACTTTGGGAAACTATGGGGTTTGACCTTGTTTTTCGGGAAACTTATGGTTTTATTGTGTTTTGGGAAACTTGTTTTTCGGGAAACTGGTGTTTTTTTTGTTTCTCTCTTTCGGGAAAAACCCATTGATAGATGCCTGGCCGGGAAAGTGTTTGTTCTTTTTTTCGGGACATGGTTGGGAAATGCTTGGAGATTTGTTGTTCGGGACATCGTTGGGAAACAAGAGGGGGATATACCTGATTTTTCGGGGATAGCTGGTATCGTCCCTATTTGTTGGCGCACAATTTCATAAATATCGGATGGAAATAAATAACAAATCATGGGGGTTGGAAAAAAGAGAAATGCGGGTGACCACCACGCAAAAAGAGATGAGCTATGGGAAAAGCTCGCCATGGTCATTGCAGCCCCCCGTGTGACGCGATCCCATGTTTTTGGGCCGCTCCCCCAGCTGTTCTTTCCCTTTTTATGTTCTTTTTGTTTTTCATTGTTCGTTTTATGTTTTTTTTTGTGTGATTTGCTTCGGCGGAATCCCATGGGTACCAAATGGAAAATAGTTGGGGAATCCATGGTACCGATTTTCGTGCGCGTGTGTGGTTTCTCTGGGCTGGACCCCCAAAAAATGGGTTCCGGTTCTCCTTTTGAAGCCACGATACAGGAGTTTAAGGGTGTACTGTCCAAATGGGATTGGTAAATGCACGCGCTATAAAGACAACTGGGGGGCCCAACAGGATTAGCAAATGCACCTGGAATAAAGACAAGCACCCGCCACCCGCGCCAAAAAAAACGAGGAAAAGAAAGAGAGAGAAAGGAGAGGAGAGATAGCCAAGCCGCCGCCTGGTCCTTGGATCTTTGGTACCTTGTTCCTTAAATCCCAAATTGTCAGCTTCACCAAACCCATGTTTTCTTACATGTCTCTTGTTCAAAACCTGCCCACCATCAAACCCACAGAGGGGGTACTTCAGCCCCCCACTTCAGGGGCCCCCGAGATCAAGTTTCTTGCTGCCTGGTTCTCCAAGAAAGACAAAAGGAAGCTCCGGCAATACGAAACCAAATGGAAACTCAGTTCCAACAGGAAGCTCCAGCAATACAAATGGAAACTGAAGTCCACCAATACTAAATCAAACGGAAACTCACCTCAAGATACTATTTCAGATCCCCCCATCGTTGAGGGGGGGGGGGGGGACTCCCGTTTACTAATCCCCATTGGACATTAGCTTAACGAGCTGCAACCGCAGGTTTTAGTCGCAGCCACGAAAGGGGCGGCTTTTCTCTAGTTGATCACCCCAACGAGTCTCGTAATCATTTTGGCCCGTTAAATAATCGCCAGGGAAACTCCAATGGGACCGAATGGCGTTTTGACTTTACCCCGAAAGACCTTGAGTGTCTTTTCTACTTGACCGGCCACAGGTGTCAGCCTTGGTCAGAGGAGGCATTTGGTTCAGCCACTTGTGAGCCAGGGTTCCCTTGAGATTTGGTTCTTGCTTGAAATCCGCGTAGGTAGCGGAAATGGCCATTCAAGAGAATGCCATAGAGATCTGTAACCTCGGCGAGGTGTTGCACTTGGGTGGCTTGTCCTTTTTTTGAGGCACCCCCACTTGGACATTCAAACTTTTCAAGTGGGACGAGGCTGACTTCTAACTTACCATCGTTGCAAGCTACATGCCATGGCCAATAGACGACTCCAACTATCGAGCAACTTCTTTGAAGGGATGGGGCGTGTTTCGGGGGTAGGAGCAGTTTCATGATTTGGGTGG